ACTTATTGAGAACTAATCAGTAACTAGAAAAATATATATGGCCCAACTGTTGTGGCTCAGTTGACCTATGAACCAGGTCAAGGTTCGATTCCTGGTCAGGGCATATGCCCCGGTTATGGGCTTGATCCCTAGTGTGGGGTGTATGGGAGGCAGCCAATTGATGATTCTCTCTGACCCTTGATGTTTCTCTTCCCTCTCTCCCTTCTTCTCTCTGAAATCAATAAAAATATATTTTAGAATATACATATTTTTAAAAATTACACCATTCTTTTTTAAAAATAAATTTTTATTGTTCAGATTATTACAATTGTTTCTATAATACTCTCCCCCCAACTCCCTCCCATAGCTCCCCTCCACGTGGTCTCCACTTTATACCATTCTTTTTAAAACATATTTTAAATTGTTGAGATAATTACTTTTGGTTCTAAATTTTGACCAGATTCAAAGATATTTATTAAAAGGAACATGTTCTATATCATGATTTTATCCTTAGAGGAACTAAGCCCTTACATTTTTAATGCTTAGACTTTTCTAAGTCTGCCATTCAGAAGTAGGAGTTAATACTTGACTTCAGGATTTCGGGTTAAGAATAGTTGCCTATAATGGAAACAAAAACCCCTTACCACTTTCTGCATACAATTATCATAAAGGCACAAAGAGAACCAATACAGGGAACATACGAATTGACTAAAGAGTGGTGGTGAATAAACACATTCGTGTTATTACTGAAGAACAGGACCTTCAGTTATTTCAAGTGGAAATGCTATCTGTTAATACAGAACTTCAGCAGCAACTTAGGAAGTTGTATTCTGCAAAGCAGTGTGTGAATTTTGGCACTGCACAGACCAGACCAAGGTTCAAATCCCACTCAGCTCAGAGTGGGATTTGAAAGGCACACAGCTCAGAATGGCACTTCTGAGCTATGTGCCTTCGGCCAAATTACATAATCTCAGGGTTTCCTTATCCTGTCTGGTAATGACTATTGTAAAGTAGGATATATTTACCTCACAGAGTTAATCTTAATTTTAAACACGACAAACAAAACACCGCTATGATTAATTTATTCTTCTGTTTCCTCATTTTATAGGTAAGACTGTATTGAGTCACAGAAATAAGTTGTTTACTGAGAGTGCTTAAAAGACTCTTGATTTAAGTATTCAAACTAGGAAGACAAAAAATATGCACTAAATGTCAGGAGCTACGTTGAGAAGGATGGTAATTTACTAAGTATCATCCTATAAATGCCATTCCCCATCAGACAGCTGGTGAGCCTATTGATGAAAAAGTGCAATTTCTGTGCTAAAAAGTAACATCTTAGATTTATGTAATACTTCATGCTTAATTAACTGCTATGTCTAATGTCATTTAATTTGACCACAACAGCCGGATATGTTAAGACCCGCTTTTTAGTGATAGGAGTAATAAAAAATTTCATAAACTAAGAAATTTCAGAAAAAATAAATAAATTAAGTTTAGCTCTGGCTGGGTGGCTCAGTCGCTTGGAGCATTATCCTGTGCACAAACGGATGAAGGTTTGATTCCTGATCAGAACACACACCTACGTTGCAGGTTTGATCCAGGGAATTAACCTTTTTTTAAAGTATGGAAAAAGGAAAATCATAACTAATTAAAGAATTTGCTTATTAAGCTCTCAACTTTTAATAAAAGTCCACGTGTCATTTAATTGTACCTATCTCAGATGGTAGAGGTTAAATTAGAATTTGAAAATAATCACTTTGCTAGAAAGAAAAAGGCTGTTACGATTTGTTGCAGAAAATGTAAATGAATAATAAAAATGTAAAAGTAAACACTACATGGTAAATAAAAGATAGCCACTCTTTGAGGCTAACAGGTTTTCAAAAAACTTCTTTATTCCTTATAACTTCAATGAAATGTTTTTAATTTTACAAATCTAGACCAACACCTTCCCTCCAACCTTCCTTGTCCTCATCTCTTGCAATCAATGGAGACAGCAGAAAATAAATCCACAAAACCATTTTTAAAAATTTTAATGGGAGACTGCTGCTTTTGCCATTTATGAAGTTTAAATGCCTTCTAAAATATAGCGCTGGCTGTACGTAACGTTTGCATGGTGGTTGGGGCCATGGTGTATTGTGTGGTTTGGGCAACTGCATCCCTGCTGCTGCATTATCCCACGGCGCACACCCTTATGTTCATAACCCACCACTGCAAACGGCCACGGCCACTTCTCTTCATCCTCCCCCGTCTTTAGAGCCACCTGACCTAGTGCAGTGAATTAACCACTCACGCTTTCAGGTAGCAAAAGCCTGCGGCTGCTTCCTGACTACTGCCCTCTCCGTTTTGACCGAATTTGCACTGTGGCCAGAATAATCTTAAACAGATTCTGCATTGGTACTTCTTTCTGCAAAGACCAATAACTGTTCCCCATTGATAATGCCACATTTAAATTAATGGTTCATTCTTATCTTCCACACACTTGGTTCTTTCATTTAGTCACTTCACCAGAAGCCAAGTTCATTGCAACGCAATGTGCAGTGAGGACAAATTTTCCATGAAAACGAAGATTTTTATTTTAAAATATATTTTTATTAATTTTTAGAAAGGAAGGGGAAATAGAGATAGAAATACCAAAGATGAGAGAATCATTGATCGGTTGATTCCTGCATGCCCCACTCTGGGGATCAAGCCTGCAACCTGGGCATGTGCCCTGAATCTGAATCGAATAGTGACCTTCTCGTTCATAGGTTAATGCCCAATCACTGAGCTACCCCAGCCGGGCTGTGTACTCTAAGATTTATATGCCATTTTAATTTTTTCTCCCACACTCCAAATACAATATATTAACTCACAGCACCACCTACCTTCCAATAAAAGACTAGGAAGCTAGGTTTACTTTTAGCATAATGCCCAAATGGCTGACCTATACAAAGTAGAATGCAATTAAGCTCATAATGCAAAGGAGAAAAAAGATATCTAAAAACACAAGTTCCATATGGCACTATATATGATACTTATACCAGTACACATACATTTCCTCGTAATGTTCCAAACCCAGTAACATATTAAGAATTTCAATCTGACACAAAACAGTCAGTGCAGACTATGCCTGTAAGAGTTCACTAGAGCTTCAATCAGGGAGATGAGGGCTGCTTTGACATAAATCTAATATTCACTGACATTTTCCTGCCCAAGTGGTAGCTGGAACGTGTGGTTTTCCTTAAAAGTCTTCTCAATGTTTTAGTCCTGTACCCTGCTTAAATGAGACAAAAGATGATGAGGGATAAAATCTCACTTTTCTTTCCTCTCGCAGTGATGCCTATCAGACCAAAATCTGTATAAAACATGGAAGAGGCTGCCCGGGCGGCGCACTCTCTACAATGATCCAAAACAGCCACACCACAGTCCTTTCTCAAATCGGTGTGATTCCCTGACTTCACACTGAAAGGGGATTCTTTTTTCTCCAGAAGCGACAATCTCCTTACACCAACCTAAGCGGTACAGAAGTGTTAGTTGGCAGAAATGAGCATTTGTACCAACAGCTGAGAAGTCAGTCAAACCATGAGAAGCAACGGATTCCATGAAAAGCTTGGCTGTGATGTTCATGAGCGGAAATGTCTTACGTTACACAGCATTTCTCCTGTGCAGGCCGCAACAGCCCGGTGAGGCAGGCTGGGGTGAGGACCAATGTCCATGCCCCCCACAGGGAAACAGACGCATTGCGGTTCATGCACCTCGGCCCAGGCCACGGGGCATGATGGCAGTCTAGTGCTCTATTCCTTGGATATGCAATTTAGAAAACAAAACAATTTTGGAAGGCTCTTTGCACGCCGGCGTGCAGCATGTCACAGTCACAGCAGCAGATACCAGAAGCCTTTCTGTGATTGGACAGTCAAATTACCATCCCATTTTGGTGGGATTATCTTGCCAGTTAGAGTTGTTAAAAGAAAGAAATAAACTCTTCTAATCTTTACAATAATTAGTGGAAATTTCATATCATCGATGGAGTAACAAGGACAGTTCTCACCTGCTTTGTAAGCCTTCTCCTCTACCCTCTTTGCATTTCCCTCACAGGAAATCCATTATTTTCCTAATGTATTAGTTTTAAATGCTTCGTTTCTTCCAGTAGAGACCCTTTGAGCTGATCCAGGGAAATTATTAATTTACTTCAAGGTTTCTCTAAACTTCTGTGTCCTAACATGTAGAATACAATGGGCATTTTTACATTTTCTCACATCCTACTACACAATACAAACCTGATTAAAATGCACTAAGAAGCATTTTGTGTTCAAATCAACACTAATTTAAAATGTTTGGTTAGGAAACAGCGTAATTTATTTTAATATATTTCAATTTAGTATGAAGGTGAGCAGTTATTTCTGAGTTTTAAGTATTTAAACTATAGTTTACACTATTGAAACAGATTTTTGGGGGTCTTTCTCTCTTCATTTTTGATTTTTTAATTCTTCCTTTTAAGAAGTTCACAGTGTCACAGGAGTAAAAAACAAGAGTGGTAGGAAGCACTCTAAAACATATGGCTTTATATACATAAAAAATTCAATAATGTTGTCATAACCCCTAATACAATGGGATCTATGTTTACCTACTACTATCCAGAATAGACATCTGTACATATTAATTGTTCAAGTATGTCTAGAGCAGTGCTGGTCAAAGTGAGGTCCCACTGCTAACTTAATGGGTGTTTCTTTGAAGACCACATCCAATGTCAATACATTAAATATAAGTGTAACAATTTCTTGAATATGCTCTCAAGAGCCAAACGTAATTTAACTTACATTTAGTTAACACCCCCTTTGTACAGCACCAAGGTTAAAAAGGGACCTAGCTAAATGTTCTTTCTTTTATTAGTTACAGTTTGTTATTTCTACAACATTAAGCCCACACTGAACTCTTGTGAAACTTTAACCTTAAATAAATAAACACTTCATCCACTTCACACTTAAATACCTAATTGCTTCCGTATAGTACATGTTTCTGGGTAACAGTTCTATCTTTGAGAACTAGGCAAGTCGGAAAGGGTTCTCTAGGTTTGCTTTAAAAGTTTCAAGAAACTTGGTGGCTAGCTCGTCATCGACGACTCGGCCGTCACTCGACATGGTGACCCGGATGAGCTGCTGCTGCTGCAGTTTGTCGTTCCCCTCTTCGTCCTGAGTGAGCTTCAGCACAGACCGGAATCGCCCCACAGCCAAGATGCAGGCCTGAGGAGGGTTGATCACCGCAGTGAACTCATCGATGCCAAACATCCCCAAGTTGGAAATGCTAGAGGAGACAAAAAGCTCTGAAGGTGGCATGTCAACAATCAAAGAAGACTTTCCCCCCTGTGCACATTTTCACTTTAAAACTGTCATTCACAGGTAAACTGATTGTGTAGTAGTGGTAGAAAATCTAAGACTCTACAGATAAACTAGCCAGATTAGTAAGTGAGCCATTTTACTAAGTCACTAGATAAAAGGTCAATAAAAAATTCATTTTATATTTATGTACAAGTTGCTATGACTGGGAAATAAAATTTAAGAATAATACCATATATAATAATATCAAAAATATCATGGATCCTGTTCAATGTGGTTCAGTGGTTGAGCACTGACTCATGAATCGATTCCCTTGATTCCCTGTCAGGGCACAGCTTGGGTTGCAGGCTTGATCCCCAGTGTGGGTTGTGCCGAAGGCAGCCAATCAATGATTCTCTCTCATCATTGATGTTTCTATATCTGTTTCCTTTTCCCTTCCTCTCTGATATAAAAAAAACAAACAGGTAACATCTGTTTGATGCTACTGATAATTAAGAGTTTAAATTTTACCTGAAAGATCCTCCTTGGTATTCTTCAGGTAACAATTTCCCATCTCTTGCTTTCTTTGAGAGAGCCTGAGAAAAATGCAAAACATGTCAAACAACACTATAGTATGCACAGTGCAGGGTATTTGTCACTTGAAATATATGGACAGGGTACAGTCTCATCTCTGAGATGCTTTGCTTTCACTTTTTAAGATGTATATGTAATTTTCTCTAAAGTCAATTTTAAAATGAACAAGATAGGATACAATCTAAAGAAGCTAAAGTTGTGAATCAAAACTGTAGAAAAAGCACTTTCCTTGAAAAATTGTGCACCACCACTACACAGAATGTTCTGGTGTTTTCCATTTTGTCTATAAAACTTTTTTCTTATAAGATATTAGAAGACATTATTGTCAACCTAATATTTTGATTAAACTATGCAATGGCAACAAACTTGCAACCGACATACTAGTTTTCATCTTTCACTCTTTCCTCTTTTTTATCCATAACACACATGTAATTTCAGACAGTTGTTAAAAAAAAACCAAACCTTTTATTTCAGTTCCCCATATTAGAGGCATCTTTCTTGTTGCCAAGTCTTTATAAATGATTTTCCAATGTCTGTTTTTCTAAACACTGCATCTGCCAGAATTTGCTTAGTCATTTCCCCAGTGGCATCATTTGGTTCACTGGTTTCTTTTGAATGATTTCATATAAATTCTCAGAAGTGGGATTACTAAGCCCCAGAAAGTGGACATTACTGCTTCTTCATCCTCAGCTGAAGCACTTCCTGGATGAGCTAGTCTAACGAACACCCCACAAAGAATATAAGGATGTAGTAATGTTATATCAATCTTGACAATACTGAGTTCTAAAAACTTCCTTACAGAGGGAAAGACAGATAACACCCTGAGAGTGAGTTTAAGAAGTTCTTAAATTTTCCTCTATTGCATTTGCAGTTAACTGCACTTCTGTTTTACTTTTTTCCTTTTCAATGCTTCCAAATAGGGACACAGAGGCTCAGTCATTCCATATAAAAAAAGTTAATAATGAATTTACTTTATGAGGAGAAGAGTTGATAAAATAAGTCCTGGGCTTACTTAATGGTCTGTATTATATACCTAACGTAAGTACAGTTACAATCACCATTAATAACTGTTTAATTTGAAACTATAAATAATTTCCACTTTGAAAAATAAAACATTCTTTAAAAATCTAAAAATAATTTCAACGTATTACTGTGACTTAATGCAACTGAAACAACTACAGATTGATTTTCTTAGGATACAGTTACTTATGAAGCTATTTGAAACCAAAATGAAAACTGTAGAGAGAGATTTAGATTGTGCAGTCCGTGGAGTATCAGAGACGGAGAGAAGGATCTGCAGAAGTGCTTTTTCTGCCTGAAGCAATATCACTGCTCACATGACTTGCACAGACACATCATGTGGACCTTGAGAGGCATTTCTTTAAAGGCAGATGATTTCCACATGAGTGACTGCACTAACACATAAAAAGCATATCCATTTTAAAAACTAGCCTGCAAGCACTTTTAAAAAATCTCTGTACACTCTGAAGACATCAGCAGGATATTCCCATCAATGAACTCCAAGAACCTGAAGTAAAAATAGACTGAGGAGGATTGATGGTTCTAAAAATTCCTAAAGAATTCTCACTGGATTTTCCTGGTAGTGTGAAAATATGAACTTAAAGCCAAAGCTGGTAACAACTCTAAGCAGACAGCTGAAACAATATAATCCAAGATGGACGGCAAACATTTCTAAAATATATCACATGCCTTATTAATTCATTCAAAATTATACTGGGTACTGATGTAAACTTTACCTCTGCCTTTTAAAAGTACTATAATTAATGAAGAATTGAGAAACGTGTGGGATGATCTAAGGTTTGTTACCATATTCCTCTATTCAGGAAATACAAACTTGAACTTGGCTAAAACATGCCGTTAGCAGCATACACTGGCATCCTTGGGATTACTGCGGGTCAAGAAGTAAATACTTAGTGCAGGTGTTCTTAATCCGGGTCCATGATGCATTTCCAAGGACCCACAAACTCCTTGGAAAATTACTTTGACTTTAAAATTGGCCAAAGTCACACCACCCCTCAATTACAAAATATAGTTGCATTTTTATCTATAAGAACACCCTCTGCAAATCTTTTCAAAGAGGAGTGGAGAAAGGCTTTAAAATGATAATTCTACTAAGGTCACCATCATTTATATCTAACTCTAAGATTCTAAAGGCATGTTTTTTAAACCAGATTGCCTTGTTTTCATTTATTTATTTTGAGCAAGTAGGTCCAGACACAGGCACTTACATATAACATCAGCTTCCCAAAGAAATCTTATCTTCTACTTTTTAATCCCTCTCATAACTTGTTCTACCACTAAACACAACTGGTCCTTGGTAAACAAAAAAAAAAAACAACAAAAAAAAACAACGAATCTGAAATTGTCAATGTTGACACTATGATATTTCTGATCAAAAACACAGAAATTATTGAGGCTGTCAAAGCTGACCTACTGCCTGTGTTCTGCTTGTTCAATGTAATATTTTTGGTGAAATCAGATTCTTCTACATTAAAGTCACAGAACTGCTTCTGAAGAAAACACGGGAAAAATGAAGTACTTTTGTTTTTAGAACACTAAGCACTTTTAGTGGTCTCAATTCTAAAAAGAAAATGAATGAACTTTTAAGAATAAAATGATGTTATTGGTGAGGCCTATCACCACGTTTTTAGAAATATAGTTTCAGCTTTAACTATCTAAACTATGATCTTAAAAGTTGAATTCTAGACTTCTGGAAGTAAATAATTCATCTATAACTTGAATACAACAGACCCAATTTTATCTGCATGCGATTTCTGCAATTTTGAATGTAAAATGTTCTTAAAATGGGACTGACCAGGTGGCTCAGTTGGTTAGAGCGTTGTCCCGTACACCAAAAGGCTGTGGGTTAGATTCCCTACCAGGGCACATACCTAGGCTGTGTAGGTTCAATCCCCTGTTGGGGCACATAAGGGAGGCATCCAATCGATGTTTCTCTCTCCTCTCTCCCCTCGTCCCCCCGCCTCCTTCCCTTCCTTCCTCTTTCCCTAAAATCAATAAAAACATACCTTTAGGTGAGGATTAAAAAGTAATAAGTAAATAAAATAAATAAATGGATCATATCTGGATTAAAAACGTAAACTCTATATATAAATGACAATCACTTGGAAATACACAGACACAACTACATATCAAATATAAATAATTACATATAGATATATGCATATCAATCACAGAGTGACCAGATCACCTCAATGCTTTGTCAGGAAGTAAAATCCAACGTTTTGAAAGCAGAGTATTTAAGGCCTACCTTCACAGAGTCAGCAATTTCCTGTATGCCTTTGGCTGCAGCGTCTTTTATGATTGGTGTAATTAAGCCTCTATCTGTTGCCACAGCCACTGAAATATCGATAAAGGGTAGTTGCTTTGGGCCTTCTCCATCCCAGCTTACATTAACACTTGGCATTTGCTAGAAATCAGAAACAGAAATACATGTTACTAATAAAGAAGCAGCTTCAGACCAAGGTGAATAGAAAAGTAACTAAATTACTATGCTCACTGGAAAGTGAATATAGCTAGACAGAAGGAAATAAAAATTTGCTTTAAGATACGGTTTGGATCTCTGTGTTATATACCTTTAATATCCGGGATGAACAATTAAGAATACCATCTTTCTGAAACAAGCTTGAGGAAATTCTGATCAAAAACACATTTTGATCCCTTTATATCATGGTTTAAAAAAGGCTCCCTTTGTGAAACCTGACTGCTATATAATATTTTGTTTGGTATACTTCCTGCCCCAACATTTTACCAACATGACCTTGAGAAGGTAGACAGGGAAGAGGGGTGGTGACATTCATCCACTCATTCCTGAAGTATTAAGGAAGCCTGATTTTCTAGCACAGCTCTAGGAGGTACCAGCATGCCATTGATAAATGACTTCCTTATTTAAGAAAGATTTTCTTATTTATTTATTTTTTTAATATATTTTATTGATTTTTCACAGAGGGGAAGAGAGAGGGATAGAGAGTTAGAAATGTTGATGAGAGAGAATCGACCAGCTGCCTCTTGCACACCCCCTACTGGGGATGTGCCCGCAACCAAGATACATGCCCTTGACCAGAATCGAACCCGGGACCCTTCAGTCTGCAGGCCGACGCTCTATCCACTGAGCCAAATCGGTGCCGGCTTAAGAAAGATTTTCTAGCTTCATAAACATATGATATGTCCTACATGTGAGCATATCTATATTTAATATACATATAATACAAAAACCAGATGAAATGGTTAAATACTTGGAAACAATGCAAATTGATACGTTGTCAAGTATCATAGCAGAAAATGATGCTGAAAAATAGACATAAAAAATTTTCTCTTCTCAAAAATTCTTTGCTTTCTACAGAATAAGATCCATACCTCTCTTCTGTAATGTAAACATAGCCATCCACAGAACAATTCCTGCTACCTACCTAATCTTACTTCTGACCACTCTGCTAAGATGATTTCCCAGGTCCCTCAGGCCCCGCCCTGCCATGCTGAGCTCATTTTCATTTCTTCACTCATCTCTTCTGAGGCTCACTCATTCAACAATGCCATTAAGTCAAAATAAACAAGGAAGTCCCAACCTCTTAAAAGATTTAAAGTTCTTCAGAGATAATGGTAAAATAAAAGAGGAAAAAAACCCACCCCTCACTAGGCAAATAAATTTAGCTAGGAAGCTATTGTGACAAAAACCTATGGGACTAGGTTGTACTCAAAGGAAAATTTATAAATCTAAATAATCTTACTAATAAAAGATAATTATAATGAATTACATTCAAGTTTCCTAAGAAAATATCTCTTATCAAAATAAACCTGAGGAAGTGAAGGAATACAAAATAAGTATGCAAAAGCAAGACAGTTCAGAAAATCCCAAGGCATTTCAGACATTAACATAATTATAAGCAAATTTAAGTGACTCTAAGCTAATAAGTTTGGGAATTTAGATGAAATAAATTATTTTCTGAGAATATATACACTTCCAAGACTGATTCAAGAAAAAGCTGAAAATTAAACAGTTCAATAATTATGGGGAAGGGGGATGAGAAAGTTGGCAATGCTCCCTCTTCAAAACAGAACTCAGGTATTTTTACTGGTGAATGCTTTACAACTTCAAGAATAAAAAGCTTCACAATATTAAAAGAATCAGAGAGAAAGGGAAGGAAAAAAAGCACCCAAATCCATTTTGATGAATCAGTTTATTTAAAAAAAAAGAAAAAGCTAGCACAAAATTTAAATTACAATTAGTATGGCTCCTGATACAAAATTATGAAATGAAATTGACCAAGAGCTAATGACCACTCAAGGAGGGCAAGAATAACTTAGAAAATCATTAATAATTCAAAATATTATTTGGTCAAAGACATATGAACACTTCGACATGAACAGCTGAAACGGCATGCCTATAAATTCTCAACTATTTAACTGTTCAAGAAATAAAAATACATTCTTTGTAAATGTACCTTCAATATAGCACCTACAAAGCCGCAATACAGAAAAGCAGCTTCATTCCACAAAGACATGACAGGAGATGGCGCTGAGCAGCTAGTCAGGAAGCCTGGGTTTCAGATTCACATTGCTAGTCAGACAGACTACCTACCTCTTGCCACTCCACCGGAACGCTATTGGGCTTCTGAAACTTAATACACAAGGTCCAGACACAAACTCTCATTACCTCCTTGCTAGAGAGGCCTTGCTTTTGAATACAACGGCCATAGTTATTTTGTCCCTGAACTTGATCTCTATTTCAGCTGAGCATTTTCACTATCTGACAGCATTTGCTTGTCTCTTCCAACTAGAACGTAAGCCCCATGAGAATAGAAAAAATGTAGGCCTTTGTTCACCACCATATTTCAAATGCCTGGGATGTATTTAACACAAGACAGGGGGGTCAATTAGTATTTGTTGAATAAATGGTCACTATTCTGCTATAATTAATTAGTTGTAAGCCCTTTTGATTTTGTTTCTTCATCTATAAAACTGAGGAAGATTAAATGATAGAATGACTTTAGCAATAAAATTATAAAGGGCTATGATTTAAAAATAAGAGTTCTATTTATCCATAAAAATCCAAAGATGTGAGATTACTTTAGAAGCCAAAATTATTGGGATTTGCTACTTACTTTAAGAGTAACAGCTGCTGCTTTGATGATAAAATCATTTACTGACACTTTAATGTCATCTGAAAGAAAAACAAGCATATTAATATTAATGTTCATAATAAACTTTAACATTGACCATTAGGATTTCAAACTTGTAAATTACTACACTGACAAGCAATGGTAAAAAACATGACAGGTTTTGTTTGCTTATTCAATAAGATTCCACTGATTAGAAAAACTTGTATTATGTGAGGTCCTGGATAAATAGTATTAACCATGGAAAGTTTATTTCGGGGGCTTGATTATAATTCTTTTAAATTGCCCAGATATAATACACAAGAACTTGCAGAAAGAAAATCAACTTGCATGTCTCTAAAGAGACAAATGTTCTCTCTATGATGTATACAAACAGGATGATTTGCTTTTTTCTCACTTTTCAAATGTTCTTTTTCTGCATATGCTGTATAATATACTGACTATAATAGAACTGTGGTACACATAGTCATTTTATGAAATAAATATGTATCTGGGGGATATTCAAATTTTTTTTTACTAATGAGGTGTACAACAAAAATTTTAGACCACTGCATTAGATAAGATCTGCTTTTTAACTTAACAAGATACAGCAAATGCCAAAGATGAGGCAATGTCGGTGTAGGTCCTAGTGCAGTAAGTAAAATGAGGTTTTCTGTCTAGTTTTATGGTGAGTCCATTTGAATTAATGTCCCTCCAGTACACATGATGATTTTAAGATAAAGCTGAGGTCCTCTCCCTCCTTACAGAGCTGCCATAACTAAAGCATTTGATTTGTACTCTTGCTTTCCCCAGTGGGTATGGAAGGGTTGGAAAATGTAAACTACACTTGATTCTTTATTGCAAGAATTTCTAGAAGATCAAGATCTAGTCAATGATATGTGGCAGCAATCACAAACCTTGTTATTATAGTATCATGGAATTTTGTGTGAACAAGACCTCATTTCAAAGGCATGCTGAAGATTTCAGGAAGAGAGTAGATAAATTACCATAAACATAAAAACTGCCAAACTGTCATGGTAACTGTCAGCTGCTCATTTAATTCATAGCTCTTCTAATTCAGATTTCCAGAAACATACAGCTTCTTTGTTTCTTTAAAATCCCTCAGGAATAGAAATAAAAATGGATTTCCAATGCTTACATGTCAGAATTTCCTAATATACATAATTGTAAAGATTCTTAGCAAATTTTTAGAAAATGGAATCAAGCAATTATGAAAAAATTAATGATTAAATGAGTTTTATGCACTCATTACAAGTAATCACTCATATAAATAAGGTCAATTCAACATTTGGAAAGCAATAAAATTCACCATATTAATAGGCAGGAAAAGGAAACGTTATCTCAAAAGATGCACAAAAAGTATTTGACTTGCCCTAACCGGTTTGGCTCAGTGGATAGAGCGTCGGCCTGCGGACTGATGGGTCCCAGGTTCGATTCCGGTCAAGGGCATGTACCTTGGTTGCATGCACATCCCCAGTGGGGAGTGTGCAGGAAGCAGCTGATTGATGTTTCCTTCTCATCAATGTTTCTAACTATCTATTCCTCTCCCTTTCTCTCTGTAAAAAAATCAATTTTTTTAAAAGTACTTGATGAAATTCAACATCCATCCAAATATGAATTTCAGTCTGAAAAAGGAAATCTACAAAACCCTACAGCTAATATTAAAGACTGAATACTTTCTCCCAAGATCAAGAATGAGGTGAGAATATTTGCTTTTACTACTTATATTTGGCATGCAATAGAGGTCCTCAATAGTGCAATAAGGCAAGAAAATGAAATAAGAGTCATACAAAGTGGAAATAAATGATACATTAGTTTATGCTAACAATTCTTATGTCTCAGCAATCTTAGCCTGAATTGATTTATGGGAGAAACATTACAAATTTAATAACCTAAAATATACTTTGAAAAAGAAATTAAAACTTGTATCAAGAAAAGTGATACATAAGACATATTTATAATCTAAAACATTCTTAAACCAGTTTGAACATTATATTTTCTAAAATGCTAAGGATAGCTTTATTTGGGTATTATATAAAAAAGTATGATTTATTTAATACTATGGAATCTATTTCTTATAAGAAATAAGCCATTTTTTAGCACTAATATATTCCAAGATGATGAAATTGAAATAAAAAGCTGCATATGTGCATTTTATAAATAAAGGATTTTATTATAGTTAGCATGTGTATTGCATTAAGTAAATTCAACTTTACTAACCTTTGACCAGATTTTGTCTAACTTTTAAAACAGCTCCAACGTCACAATCAGCAGTAGCATATGCATGAGGTACAGTACTTTTAGATTCAGTTAGCCTTTTGGCAATAACTCTTCGAATATTGCTAGCTGGGATTTCAGTGAATGTGCCCTGCAAGGAATAGAAACCTGTCCATTAAACCATGAAAAATAAAAGGGAAAAAAATAAATTTCATAACAGAAATCAGGTCTCAGTTACTTTTGATAATAATTAAAGATTAATATTTAAAAAGTACTATTAAAAATTCTTAGTGCCCTAGCCAGTTGGCTAGAATGTGTTCCTGTACACCATAAGGTGGCGGGCTCAATGCCTGGTCAGGGCATGTATAGGAGGCAATCCATCCATGTTTCTTTCACATCGAAGTCTCTCTCTCTCTCCTTTCTCTCTCTCTTCCTTTCTCTAAGATTTAAAAAAATTTCTTAGTATAAGGAAAACTGTAAGAAACCTAAGGAGTATAAAACTGTAGAAAAAAACTTCACAGTATATGAGTGTAGAAGAAAATGGAAAAATTCAAGTTTCAGTTATGAATGGGACTTCATATGTTACTATCATTGAGATGATTTTAAAATATCTAAGAAATCATGAATAATTCCTCATGGATGTGTGTGTATGCACATGTATAAAAATACACACACATACCCCAGAGGTACCACCTATAAGCAATTTTTGTGATAAACATCATCTCTATATATAAAAGGCTAATATGCAAAGTGTCCCCTGGGGAGTTTGAGCACTTGTTATGATGTGCGCTCACCACCGGGGTCAGTGCATAATGAAGAAAGGCCCAGCTGGCAGACAGAAGGCCCTAATTGGCCCTGATCTCCAACCAGGACTAGAGACCCTACCTGTGCATGAATTTCTTAATAATACTCAAGGCAGCCAATAAATCAACAAAACAACTAAAAGCAATTTTTATTTGTAAACATGTCATAAAGTAGCCCTAGCTGGTTTGGCTCAGTAGATCGCACATCAGCCTGCAGACTAAAGGGTCCCAGATTCAACTCCAGTCAGGGGCACATGCCTTGGCTGCGGATCTGATCTCCAAAAGGGGGCGTGCAGGAGGCAGCCAATCAATGATTCTCTCTCATCACTGATGTTTCTCTCTCTCTCCCTCCCTCCTCCCTCCCTCTCTGAAAGCAATAAAAATATATTTAAAAAATGGCATAAAGTAGCAAAAGATAATCTAATATACTGGATAATCTATCAAATTATTTCTATTTCAGTTTGTTATTTTTTTAAAAATCACATGAATACCTATGTCCTAGAAATTCAAAATATGGAGTATGAATGAGATAAAAAAAAAAAATCTTTCCGTAACTTTATTGTCGCCTTTCCATTCTGTTCCTTGAACTTCTAACAAAAACATGGGACCTTAAATTACATCTAATTCCTTCCTTGTCCTTTACATCATCCTGGGATTGGGTTATAATCACTTCAGAAAAATACAGGTGATTTCCTTTTTAACAATTGTTCACTTAGAGAACTAAACATTTTAGGTTAACAAAATACTTAATCAAACAGAATAAATACTCTTTATATAATGTAAGAATTTGAAAGTGAGGTTTATGTTTCTAATTTGAATAACTTAGTTTTTAAAGAAATTAAGATTTGATTACACATAAAATTTTTGTATATGTAGTCATAAGTCATTAATGTACAGTAAAAAAATCTGTTTCCTATGAAACTTGTACTACTTTCAATTCTTCTAAAATATTATATTTAAATATATCTCTCCATTAAAAAAAGTAGCATAGGTTTGTCTCTGTTTGCCTGTTAATATTTTAAGTGCCCATTCAATTTTAAATAAACCGGATTATTCTGCATTTCTTCTGATGGGAAGAAATAACGTGAAACCTAGGAAAGGGAGGGACAAAAATGGAGCAATTTGTAAACAAAAAGACTGTTCTTCATAGTGAGCCTATCAATTTCCTTAGTGAAAAATTACAATTTTTCTACAAGAGGGAGCTGGTATCAGCTACTAATTACTAGCTAAACAAAACATGAAAAGTATCGGGATTACAGAGCATGTATATGGTACTGAAGGTGTGGAACTTGTAGTAAATTTGAATGGAATCATAATCCTGGTGTTCCTTTTGGAAGTCAGAACTGTACAAATAAATTTGATTTGTGACAAGAGCTCTGCAAAACAAAGCACTTGGAGGGTTTTAGCTGCTACTAAAATAGATTGCAAAAAAGTACTTGTAAAACATGCAGTAATGGTGCTTATTTCCTTTCCCACTTAAATCTGGAAAATAAAAATCTACTTAGATGACATTACCGCTACGTTAGGTTGTCCAGGAGTTGACACTGGTGGGATCATGGGCCGGGGATAAGATGGTGGGGCTGCGGCTGGGGCTGGGGCCTTTGCGGGCAAAGGTGCAGTGGGAGCTACTGGAGGGGCTGGGGTCGGTCTGGTTTCCGTGACTTTGCCCGCCTGTTTCAACTGGACAAGCTTGACAGCATCCCTGGAGATAAGAGGGAATTAGATAATCATGATCAGCAACAAGAACTACAATAAAACCTTTAGAAAAATGGTAGGGAGATGTGGAGGGAAGGTACAGAAATACATACATGTCAAGGCTAAAATGCAAAAGGAATTATTTGAGCTAGACAAATGAATCTTGTCTGCTGATTCATATTATTTGTCCAATCAGTACAATATTTGTACTGTTTCAAAATCCAAAGAATTAGAAATTTATTAACATACTGGATCTAGTTATTTTTAAAAAGGAAATTAATCTTTTCATTCCAGGGATGGGAGGGGGGGTCATTTGGAATATGAGCAATTCATAAATTAAACCACACCCTCATTCTTTAAACTTGTGAAATAATTTTCAAACTCAGAAATTATGAAGTTTATTGTGCCTATGACTTTCATTAGGACATTTACTAAATCACTGTTTAGGGCTAATTACCTTGTTTATGGCCAGAAAAATCACAGTACTGTTAATTTCGCTCAACAGGCTATCAGCACAATCTAATGTAATGAATCTAACCTCAACATCATTTAGAATAAAAAATAGACTAATAATAAACTTGCCATTGTATTACTGGGTAAAATAAAGGTATTTTTGTTTTTTAAAAGGATATAGTGAGATTACTAAATATGTCAAGCCTTCTTTTCTTATAAATAAGCATATTGCTTTAAAACCTTACCGCAATTTAAAAATTTTAATGGAACTGCCAATAGAAATGTGGCACATATAACTACAGCAGCCTTATATTAGGTTTATATGCCTATTTGACTAATCTTTGTCATCCCCATTAAAATAAATTTCAATAGATAAGGCACTGTCTATTCGAATATACCCTTGAAAGACAAAATTTAAACAAATGGGTAGACATATCAGTGTTCTTGGAAGACTCAACATCATAAAGATGCCAGTTCTTTCTAAGTTAATTTAAAATGTGACACAACTCAATACAAATAACATGGCTCCCCTGCCATACCCTGCCAGGAGGCTAGACGAATTGTTCAAAATCCATTTGGAAGAATTAAAAGTGTGGTATTAAAAAAATATAGACAAAATAGGAAAGAAAATCTAAAAAGAGACCCAACTGTATCTGGAAATTACTTTGATCATACAAGTGAATAAAATTCAAACAGATAAGAATAACATTGTTTTTTAAAGTAATTTCCATGTTTTAGAAATTTAAATGTGATTGCATATTTTTTTTCATACAAACGTAAAATAACACAAAGATTCACTCTCCTGAACTCTAATTTTCTGCCTTTATCACCATTTCCAAAGATCTCACTTAGTTACCAAATTAGAATTGTTTTTCAATTATTCAGAAAACCCTTATTCAGAAAACCCTTCCACAGCATACAATTTTACTCAGACAAAGACAATTAAAAACACAAAGGAACAGTGTACTTTCTTTTAAATCATAACTTGAGTAAGCTTTTCTTTAAGTACTTTCAGAAAATAATGATCATGATAAGTAATGAAATTGGCTATTACGAAAAGCACACACATACTCTTTGGTGAAAATCCCCCGAGGGCCAGTGGCTGTGCCCTGGCTAGCATCCAGTTTGTGTTTTTCCAGAATATTACGGGCAGCTGGACTTACACGGAGCCTAAGAAGAAACAATGAAGATTAGTGGGATCAATTAACACTCATATTTTGATTCAAATATATCCTAAAGTCAACAGTTTTTCTGATCATTAAAAAAATAGAAACATAAAGCTAAAACAAACAGCCACAGACAAATAAATTAATCTGTACTAATCTGGTTTCTATTACTATCAACACATTTTCACACAAATTTAATTAGTTACCATTTCAAAATAATCTTTTAAAAAGAGTAAATATGCACAAGGAGAAAGCTGCTACTTTTCACGTGGTTCATTCAAATAAACACTCACTGCAGTGTCCCTGGTGGGAGCTCCTTTCTGACAGGCACAGGAACGGGTGGTCCTGGGGAGGGGCGAGGCGCTGAGGGCTGTGAGGTGGCTGCTGGAGGACCTACATCTTTGGGAATCTCAACATGTTTCCAATCTTCTCCTTCTTCAACTAGCAAGCCAATTAGTGAACCTAGCCGTATACCTTTAGATCCTTCTTCAACCTATATTTTAAAAAGAAAATAACTGCAGAGATGGAAAGGCTCATGACCTCATGAATAAGCTTATTCCTTTGTTGGGTGTTGCTGTGCCAGTTAGAAATATCAGTTACTTTGAGTTACATCTGCTTCCAAGTCAGCCAGCCTCCCCTTCCCACTCACTACCCCTCCCTTTCCTTCCCCCACTAATACCTTCCTTTACCACTTTCCCCCCCTCCCAGTTACTAATGCTATTTCCTGAAATAAAGGAAAAATCTAGAATCTCCCCTCTTTCTGACAGCTTTTAAACAGTAAGACATATTTATGACCATTATCCTTCTGATCTCAATCAGGACAAATCTCAAACAAAAAACTGTGGTTACACATGTCAACTATTTGTCTTTCTCAGAGCTCTATACAATGGCTTAGGGAACTCTAATAACTCATAAGAGATTAATGCCCCCAATAGGTCCTTTACTAAAATTAATTCAATGAAAAGTATTTTCAGTAAGCTTAATCTAGAAAAAAGAACATCTCATTATATAGATAGAATTGGTTAACAACTCTTGTTAATGTTAAGTGTAGTTCCCACCTTTTTCTACAGATCTATTTACACACCTGAGAAATAAAACAGCATGAACTTTTTTTAAGTACAGTAGAAACATGGTGGTGTCTCAACTAATCAAACCCATTTTCACAGACAATGCCAATTAAAAGTGTAAGACTGAAGATAAAGCTTGATATAAATATATTTTAAATGCTTTAGTAGCATTAATTTATTTTTAAAATCTCTTATTTTTAAAAAGTCTCTATAGAACCTTCAAATGACAGTATTTTGTAAGTTCAGTAATAGAAGAAAATGCCATTCCTTTAACATTTTCTATTATATTCCCTTTCAATTACTATAAGTAAGGTTCATTTCAGATGTAATTTAATGAATGACTGAATGATAGGCTTCAGGGTGTTCACTAATATAGTATTATAATTATAAGTAAAAGCATAACTCCAAGAATGCGGCAGACATTTCTGAGGTTCTAATTTTTATGCTGATTATTATGTGCAGTATTCCTTAAAGAATAGGGTGTAAGTCCCAGGAGTAAGGAAACTTTCTAATTTACTAATTACTGATGGAGAAGAAACAGAACAATGCTTTGATAAGGCAAAATATATAAAAGAAATGGGTATTTAACACTCAGAACGTTTAAGGAACTGCAAGCTGTGGAAAAACCCAAGAAAATTTTTTTTTTTTTAGTTCTTTGTCACATACTGAACAGTTTTACTTCTTTGGACTGCTCATTTGTCCTTATTACATTAAAAAGATGAGTTAGGATTATTATTAGGTTATTTTTTGAGTCTTCTAAAAATATCTAATTATTTGCTTATGAATTGCTAACTAAGAATCAATCACAAGGTAAAATGACTAATATTTTTTAAAACTTGATAAAAAAAAAAGCACTAAATGATATAAAGTCCACTTGATGTTAACTCCTATCAAAACTGAACCAGAAATAGGATCAATATCCAAGTACAAAGAACAATACTCCAATGCAAATCATTTTTTAATAAATAGGAAAGTTGTATTGGAAAAATATCAATAAATTTCTAACATCTGAATCAGACATGAAATTAAATCTAAAACGGATACCACATGTTTTATTTATAAATCATATAAATGATTCCCATATATACCCTATCAATTGATACCTTCACAAGTATTTAGTATCATTTCAACATTTATCATATTTAAAAATCAAATAGCATTTATTTTTAACTACTCACATTTTTTTCTTCCCATTAAAAAAATGACACCATGAAGCATAATACCCAAATATACCGGAGAAGTGTATGCTACCACACATCTTGAATATATAACAGAAGTTAAAGTAATATCTATTAGAGTTCCATTTAAAGTCACTGAAATCACCAAGTGAAGTTCAGATCATTTCTCTGGCTTTCTTTATTCCCTGAGAAATAAGCGGACTTTTAGAAGTGTGCTAGTTTCCTGTAGACTAGTGTGCTTATGTTGTAGTTGGCAAATGTTTAAAACTGGCAGAGATTCGGTAAAAGAAGAGTAAATAATGCTCTCTCCAAAGTGTTTAGAAACCAAACAAGGTGGCCTTAGTCACTGTTAGCACTGGGACGGCTCCACTCCACCAGAGCGATTGGAGTTCCAGGACACTTCACTCAGCCAGTTCTTTCCCCAGGCACCTGCTTACTGGATAAAATTCTCCCTACCCTTGTGCCACTGACCTCCTAATGTGAAGTGTAGGATTTTTATAGTTAGCCCTGAGAAAGCTGCTGATTAATAGTGAAATATTGGATCTGGAATCAGTCATTTAATGTACAAGCCTTCCCTTCCAGTCTTTTAGAGACTTGCTCAGTTTCATACTGGCTCTGCTACTTGCTAGTTAGGTGACCTTAGAAAGCTGTTTCACCCTGACCGTTTCTTCATCTGTAACGGAAATAATAATAGTAACTACTCAGAGTTGTTATGAGGAATAAATGAGTTTGATGTAAGTTACAAAACAGTGCCAGACGTCTAGTAACCACTACATAACTATATGAGATGTTATTATTACTACTACTATGGTGGTGGTATTTTCAAGTATTTTATTTTATTATTATTTTTAAAAATATATTATTTTATTGATTTCAGAGAGGAAGGGAGAAGGACAGAGATAGAAACAGCTGCCTCCTGCACGCCTCAAACTGAGTATCGAGCCCACAACTGGGGCATGTGCCCTTGACCGGAATCGAACTTGGGACCCTTCAGTCTTTAGGTCAAGGCTGTATCCACTGAGCAAAACCAGCTAGGGCTAGTTACTGATTTTTAAAATAAAAAATATACTCAACATGGATAAAGACTGGACTTCAGAGGGTTGTCCCTTGGCAGAGGCTGGAAGAACTGAAGAGTAAAGAGCAGCATATGAAACAAAGATGGTAAGGCTTTTGACGAGCTATTTTTCCACAATACTCAGAGGCTGAATTCTGTCCCAAGCCATGATCCCCTAGTAAGGGCCTCTTTACCAGAGACATCTCCATAGGCTGCCATAATCACCTGCAAATTTGATCAGAACAGCCACCTACCCTCATCCATGTACCAAAGAATAGGAGGTGAATTCAAGAGACACAATAACTTCAGCAGTATTTCCAACAGGGAAACTGTGTAAAGGGGTTCATTCCATTTAGGTTCTAATAAATACAGTGCTTTGATGCTGATATTAAAAAAAAATAATCAGTAAGTTAAACAATTATTTAAATATTTTTTATGTTTAGCAGTAGAACACTTCAGAACCGCTAAGTGAGTACTGAGTACTAACTGCAGTGGTTAGTGGAGATGAGCTAAGTAACCTGATTGGCCTAATGGGTTTGAAAACCTAGAAAAGAATTTCCATGTTAACCATTATACAGCTTTCAGTTGTTTTTATTCTTTAATATATACAGATTGACTTATATGCCAACGAACTTGAGTTTAAAAGAAATATAACTAAGAAACATAAATAAATTGTGTTGAAAATAAATCAAGGACAAGACAAGGTAACCTGCAGCATATACCACCTCATTTTTTCACTATTTTCCCCTATAAAAGTATATATATTGTACATTAATATACTCCCATTTCTATTAAAAAAGCATGCGAAATAATAAAGCCATAAAGTCCTAAAATATACATACAATCTTTTCTTTGGCAAGAAAATAGCTATTTGTGCCCCTAAAGCTGCTATCAATCATGCCCCCATTGCTTTCCAGAGCATTAGGGGGCCGGGGAACAGCCACTCCTGGCCTGTGGCATTCATTGTTAGCAATGTGAAATGCACTGCGGAGCAGCTTCCTGGAAAATGCTATCAATTCTGGGAGACTTTCACAGCCAAACAACCCAGACAATCTAGGGCCAGGAACCCAGCTTGCCAAAAGCACACAGGAGAAAATGTAGCTGGGTCTATTACATATGGAAATTCAAACAGCCTTTTTTGTTTTCAAATCCTTTCCATAAATTAGTCAAAAAACTATTTTTATACTAATATTTATATTTTCAAAGTCTACAATCTTAGCTGCTACATCATATATTTATATTTAGTTATAAAGGTGCTTCTGGACCACCCCCAACCGTCTTTATCTACAGCCAATGCAAATTCTTTCAAAACAATGTCTACCTTCTTCCCCAAACCGTTTGTCCTTCAACTCCAGGACAGCTGTCCTGTTTTCATCCAGCACTGCTGCTGGGGGTTCAGACTTTCAGCTGTAGGGCCTGGTTCCTTTTCTGGCTAGCATTTGGCTCAACAAATCCTTTCTTTTAGAAATGTTTTTGTTAAACAACTGCATATATTTAAACTAGAGACTTGGTGCATGAAATTCATGCACGGGTAGGGTAGGGTCCCTAGGCCTGGCCAATGATCAGGCTGATCAGAGCTTTCCGGCTGCCAGCTGGGGCCTTCCTAGTGGTCAGTGTATGTCATAGCGAGCGATTGAACTCCCTTGGCATAATACACACACACACACACACACACACACACACACACACACACACACACACACACAGAGATTTAAAGGAAATGACTGGTCTTGCTGGATCCACAGCATATTTTCCATAAAAATGTTCATGGAACAGAACTTATACTATCAACAGAAAAGACTGTCAACTCGATTATATTCAACTATGTGAAATATTCTATACATACATTTTTATATAAATATGCATTTTAAATTATAAAAACGTCTAAATTGTGAGAATGAGTAAGAATGGGACTAGGCCAGTGAGTGTGACTATGAAACCTATGGACAAGACTTCCCAGAACATCTTAAAACAGTCTTGTCTAGAGGAAGGAGCTGAGCAGATGGCAGCTTTAAACGCCTGCAGTCCTGAGGGGGTCCCAGGGAGCAATAAAGATAGGATTTATCATTCTCATGAGATAAGAGTAAAACATTACTTCTTTTTCATTTTACCAACTATAAACTTCGAAATTGCTATTTCTCCCATCCAAGTACTAATCAGGCCCGACCCTGCTTAGCTTCCGAGATCAGACGAGATCTGGCGCGTTCAGGGTGGTATGGCCATAGACTGAAATTGCTATTTCTAAGAATGACCCTATTGCTTTCTTTGTCTTCAAATTCCATCTCAAATAGCCTTCTCTCATCCCTCAGGCCAGAATGCTTTTCATACCTCACTAGAAAATCCAAACACCAAGTACTATTGTTGAGGTTGAAACACTTCTCTGGGGTCTGATCACCACGGGCTATTCTTAAACCTTAATACTAAAATATTTTATACATCTGAATTTAAACTATAAGAAATCTTCATCTGTTGTAAACAATCAAAATAAACTTACCACTATTTTGGCCAAAATGCCATCATCACTTGCATCTAAGGTCACCACAGCTTTGTCCGTCTCTATCTCACATAAGGCGTCTCCGGCACTCACAGCTTCACCTACAAAACAAGACTGGGTTTGTTTTGTTTTTTAAAATACACATTTTAGTTTGTGAGTTGGTGTGTGTATATGTTTGTAAAACATGAATAATAAGTACCAAAATATCAGTATTTGTTTCTAGGCTGTGGAATTACAAGTAATTCTCATCATGTATATATGAGTGTTTGCATGTGTGTAAGAGTATATATGAAGATACAGCAAATAGCAATGAATGCACATCCTCCTCTGAACAAATCAATTCCAGACCCCATATTCCTCCCTTTATAGTATATTTAGACTATTATTCCATGAAGAGAAAAGTGTTACAATTAATAGCACTTCTGGGTTCACAACGTAGGCTGAGTTCAGAAAACCTGTTGGCACTACAGAGTATAAATGAATAAAGCATATTAAGCAAAAAGAGAGATAATCACAGATACAGTGAGGTCAAATAAGAAACATTTCTGTGCAACAGAAACAGTAGAGAAATTCAAAAACGTTGAGCAGGACCTGACTGGCTGGTTTCTAGATCTACAAGCAGATTGGGGCAAAGTGTAGTAGTTGCTCTTAAGAGTAAAGGGAACTAAAAGTGGCCTCATGAAGCCAGGAGGCTTAAATCAGACTCTCAACTTAAAGCTAGGACTGGGTCTGGGTTCCTCTGCTCATAATAATTGGAGGCTGATAACAGAGGTGATCATCGCCTGCCGACTAGGACTGTGGCTTTAAGAACTGTGGGAAGGTGGGTGAACAAAAACACTGCCTCAAAACCAGGAACAGAGCCAAGCCACCTTCGGGCTCCACTACTACACTTGCTAATATCTCTAGTATCAATAGCTAAATCCCTGATGGGAGGGGGGAAGAAGGGAAGAGTAGGGGACAGGTAGGAAGACATTAAAACACAAAACCTTCCACTCAAAAGTAAATTGCAAGACAGAGTTCCAAAATATATGAAGAAATTTAATGCTAAGAAAGGAAAACCATAAAATCACTACTAGGAACAGAAACTCATTTCAGATGCAATTCATTTAGAAGACCCATCAAAAAACAAGAAATAAGAAAAAAATAATAATGTACAGAAATAAAATAATATCGGGTAGAATGAAAAAACTAATTAGAAATCTTGGAAATGAAAAATACAGTCAGTGAAATAAAAAGAAACAATCAATGGGGTGTATTTTGGATGAGCAAAGTGAAGTGAATTGGTCAATTATAGATAGCATTAAGAAACTACCTGGAACTTAGTGTAGGCAGACAAGATAAAAAATAGAAGAGGCATTAGACATAGATTGAGGTTGCAATGTTTGTTTAATGGAGTTTAAGGGAAGAGGCTGGAGGGAATGGTGGAGAAGCAATACATGAAAAGATAACTACTGAGAATTTTCTCAGAAATGAAGAGTCATGTACCCTCACAATGAAAGCGTTCTGAATGAGTTTAGAATATGCCTATCTATGGTGGATAGACTGGGAGAGGGCACAGGAAGCCTTGCAGCTTGTTGGAAATATTCTACATCTTGCTCTACCTGAGCTGATGCTTTCTGGCAAGTAATAACTTGATAAAGAAAAGGCTAAATAGAAAAAAAAAGTATTAGTCTGTATAAACTGAAATCCACATTAGATACACTTAAGAGAAATTGTATACTATCATCAATAAAAACACAATCATAAAAGCTTTCAGAGGAAAAAAATCAGATTACCTCAATGAGATGCCAGACTGAGAGCACACTTCTCAGCAGCTGCTATAGAGGTCAGAAGACAATGGAGAAGTATCTTCAAAAAGCTGAGGAAAAATAACTGTCTAGAATTTTACACGTGGCCAAACCATCATTTAAAAATGAAGAGAAAGTATTCTTTAGACATATAAAAGCTAAGAAAATTTATCATGTACTGATGAGTTATTACAAACTATAGTTCATCAAGAAGAAAAGTGTTCACAGAGGTAACCCATGGAATATAAGAAACAATTAGCAGAGAAGTTGATAAAAATGTTAACTATTAATTTAAAATATTTCTGAGTGTTTATAAAGGTGTAAAGCTGAAACTCTAAAAAAGAATAAGATGAAAAAGGGAATGTTCAGATGATCATTAAAGCATGCTAAGAACTTTGATATAGATAGGAGGAAAAAATATCAAATAATCTAGACTGTATTGGCAACATTTAATATTACCTTAAAAACTTAATAGTGTACACCAAAAACTTAAAAAATAGAAATATCTACAGTATTCAAAAAGCTGAGGAAACACAGAAAATAATAAAAACGAACATCTAACTGAAGGCAGACACATAAGAAAAACAGAAAAGAATAAAACAAAAAGGTAGAAATACGTTCAAGTGTGTCAGTAATTGTAATAAATATAAATGGCTTAAATCCACCTACCAAAAGCAGAGGTTATCAAAATGAATTTAAAAAATCAAAATATGGTAAATATGGCTTATATCCAAACAAGACCTAAAACAAAAATAAAAAATAAGGGACAAAAGAAATATGCCACATACAGATACATCTATTAGGAAAAAAAGGGAGGGGGGGGGCTTGCTTTTTCCTTGCTATGGCTTTCCACAATTTATGAGAAGTATCTAGTAATTAAACCCGAAGACTGTTAGTTCCTCTGATCAAACAGCCCCTTTTTTCAAATAGCAAGACAAGATAATCTACTTTCAAGGCTACATTCTTGAAAATACCTCTTCCCTGCTGTTTTTATAATACAGGGATAATTAGTATAAACTTTTCTTCCCACTGCACTTCAAACAAGCCTTTTAGGAAAGCCTCATAATTTTTGCTTCAAGCACGTTATAAAGGCTTGAAAAAATATTGATATGACACCTCCCAAGACATCAGCAGGAGCTGTCTCTTGAACAACAAACAAACAAAACAAACTACAACCCACCCACCTCTCTTCCACCCCCCATATTTGCTCAATTTCAGGTCTCAAATCCCCGCCCTTCCTTACTGCTTAGCAATAGTCATAGCTTATAAAAAGGATGCTGCCCTTTGTTTTCTTGGCCTTGTACAGATTAATAATGCACTGACCCTTTCCCCTTTGGGGAAAGTAAAATAAACTCCCTCTCTCTTACTACCTCTTCTCTCAGTTGTGAATTCTTTCACAGCCCAAATCACCAGCCAAAACCCTAACACACACCCCTCATATACACACCAAGAAACAGTTGTACAACAATATTAATAGGCATACTCAATAGAAGAACATGAAGAAAAATCTAAAATACTAAGGAAGTTCACTGTACAGAAACTACTTCATTGTACACCAAAATTTTCACAGAGGTGGTTATAATACCTCTTAGTTAAAACAGTTCAGAACCACCAATATATACTCCATTAATGAAATAAACAAACTTATCTGTTAGATAATATTTAGTGAAAATACTAAAAGAAAAGGTGCTTGGTCTGACTCCAAGGAGATTTTTTTTCACTGAACAAATATTTATTGAAAACACATTAGCACACTCAAGATACAAAACTGAAGGGGGGGTGGGGGAAGAGTTAAGATTTCTGGCCTCAGGAAGCTTATTTACTTTCTAGTGAAAAGCTAATTGGAAATTACAATAAGATTAGGTGAAGTCAAGATGCTATGGGTATATTCAGAAAGGGCATCTGCCTCCATTTTTGGAAGGTGAAGGACATCTAATCTGAGCCTGAAAAGATGAGGGAGAGATAATGAAGTAAATGGACCTTAATCCAGGCAGAAGGCAGGACATACCCAAAATCCTGGGGGTAATGAAAACAGGGAACTTTGGAGGATTTTCCTAACAATACCTGAAAAGGGCTGAGATATTAGGATGGTCTGGTAAGTAGGAATCAGTTAAAAAAAAAACAAAAAAAAAAAAACAGAGAAAGCTACAGCAAAAGATTATATAATCTTACTTCTTTATAAGACAGATGTTTTAATAGTTTAAATAGATTGTACTTCAAAAGGAAAAAATCACACCTTTATATGTTTCTGCTGTAACCATGGAAAAAAAACTGAACCAGGCAACCTAGCAATTAAATACTTCTTTTAGACACCTAGAAAAAGACAAAATGTTTTTATTACTTGAGCTCATCTATTTCATATTCTAAACATCCTTTAAGAACCACCCATAGCCGAAACCGGTTTGGCTCAGTGGATAGAGCGTCAGTCTGAGGACTAAAAGGTCCCGGTTTGATTCTGGTCAAGGGCATGTACATTGGTTGTGGGCACATCCGCGGTAGGGGGTGTGCAGGAGGCAGCTGGTTGATGTTTCTCTCTCATCTATGTTTCTAGCTCTCTATCCTTCTCCCTTCCTCTCTGTAAAAAAAAAAAATCAATAAAATATATTAAAAAACACACACACACAAAAAACCACCTATAAATTCTACTTCAGCCATAGATCAATCTAAATGGTCTTGTTCCTGTTCCTGAATTCTTATAGTTGTAATTTATTTCCAATGAATCAGAAATTGCATTATAGAATGTTATGTTGCTACTATTAATTACTTTTTTAAAAAAATTAGGTTCCCTCTTTCTACTAAACTATGGGCGTCTTCACAACAGGAACAGGACACGTCCTAAGTATTTTATAGTCTACCTAATTCCCCAGGCTAGGACCTTACAGATAAAGAGTTTGAGATTAAAATACTTTAGAAAAAAAATGAACAATAATTTCACACATCCTCATTTCCTCAGAAGGTATACATCAAACTGTCGAGTTTAAAACATCTTATTATTACCTAAGAGCACAGTACTCTTAATTTATTATGAAACTAAGCTTCTATCTATCAATTAATCAAACATAATGTACATGCCAAAAGAAAATCCTGAGACCCAATAATGAGCCAGGAAGATTCCAAATATACTCAGTGCAGCCTTGATCCACAATTTAGCACTGTAATTGGGAAAGCTGCAAGGCAGAGTAGTTACAAGGAACTCTTCCAACTCAAACAGGTTTGAGTCTAAGCTCTGACACTTACTAGTAATCTTGACCAAGTTACATAATCTCTCTCTCAAAAAAGTTTTGAATGTGCAGCTATATTAAAAACAAAAGCACAGAACTGGAGATGTTATGTTAACTCCTCACACACATCTTCAAACAATACCTGGCAACATCATTAGAGGAAAATGGTAGGTATGTTATTAGTAACCATCGAGAACCAAGACTCATTCTAGCTCCCTAGTCCCTACCCTGTTATTTCAAACAGATCATTCCACAAATATTCATGTACAAGACATTATACTACGCACTGGGTATAAATACAACAGTAAGGTTCTGTCCATAAGCTGGTAGTCTAGAGAAGATGAGAAGCTAGGACAGAGCATCATGGCCGGTGTGAGGTGACAGGCGGCTCCTCAGCTGCCATGTTGAGGGCTGGCTGGTTGCAGAAAGAGATGGCAGCCTTGCAGTGTCCCTGTGCCAACTCTTCGTGGTGCAGACGAGGTGGAGCGGGCCCGGAGCGAGAGTGCGGGCCCCAGGAGGGGCCGGAGCAGAGGCCCGCCCGGGGGCCGCTCCCCAGCACCGAAGCCAGCAGCATCATCCTGTTCCTTTGTCCCGTTGGGAAGCTGCCAGAGCCCAGGAACTGAGTATGGAGTGGCTTCCCTTTCTCTTTAAACATTCTGGGTAGGAGGTATGGTTTTGATGAAACACAGTTCATGGTGGTGTTTATGTCATTAATGAAACATATCCTGTGGCTTTTACAAAATAACTTTATTCTGCCAAGAATAAAAGTCTTAATTTAAAAGATGTGCGCGGTAGCCCTAGCCAGAATATTTGGAGCATCATCCCTCGCACTGAAGGAGTCACAGGTTTGATTCTGGCTGGGGTACATAACCAGGTTTCGGGTCCAGTTCTGGTTGGGGTGTATATGGGAGGCAATCGATGAATGCTTTTCTCTCACCTCAATGTTTCTGTCTCGAAAATCAATAACAATAATTAAAAAAACAAAACAAAACACATCCTTGAGTGAGGATTAAAAGATGTTTGTGGTAATATTGGCGGAGGGGGGTGGTGGTGGTGGTGGTTAGTTTTTATACATGAGACCAAGTAAATCAAACCTATTTTAATGTTCATTAAAGAAAAAAATAATTTTGTGGTACATTGAACCATCATGACAACCATAATTAGGAAAAAAATACCTCAATTATGTATTTAACAAATATTTACTAACTGCTCTTATGTGTAAGATATTGTATAGGACAGTTTAAGTAAAAAAATAATGTTAGGCTGGGACCGGTTTGGCTCAATGGATAGAGCGTCGGCTTGGGGACTGAAGGGTCCCGGGTTCGATTCCGGTCAAGGGCATGTACCTTGGTTGCGGGCATATCCCCAGTGGGGGGTGTGCAAGAGGCAGCTGATCAATGACTCTCTCTCATCGGTGTTTCCAACTCTCTATCTCTCTCCCTTCCTCTCTGTATAAAATCAATAAAATATATTAAAAAAAAATAATGTTAGACCTGCTTCAAGAAGTCCTAATCAGAGTAAAGAAGAATACAGACAAGCAGCAATGTCTGCTCCACCAATCACTGCCTGCAGCAGAGTGGGAAGCTAGAGGAGCGCCCCGCCCGACGCACGCGCCCCCTACTCCCCCCCCCCCAGCAAGTCTGCCAACTCTTTTCATTTCATCAGACACAGGATATTATTTGCATGGCCAAGTCCTCAGACAACCTGGCTCCTAGGCCATCTGAGGTTCTGCCTAGAAGGCTAAGGATACAGTTTGAGAAGAAAATGGCTAGGTAAAGTGGTAACTCCCTTCACTCTCCTGACCTCTTGTATTTTACTAGAGGCCCAGTACACAAAATTCGTGCAAAAAGGGTTGGGGGTCCGGCCTGCACCCTCTCACAATCCGGACTGCTGGCTCCTAACCACTCACCTGCCTGCCTGCCTAATTGCCCCTAACCACCTCTGCCTCAGCCTCTGTCATTGCAGCTTCGTCTTGAATGATGTCTAGAAGGTCGTTCGGCTGTCCGATCTAATTAGCATATTATGCTTTTATTATTATGGGTTATTATTATAGATTGCACTGTTCATTACACGAACCTGACTTATGTGGTTGGTGAGTGGTTATTGTATTGGACGGTGCAGACAAGAACATTTCCATCACCATTGAAAGTTCTACTGAAAATTCCACTCAGTAATTCTAAAATAATGACATAACAAAAATACTAACAAGAGTAAAAAAAGCATAGTGATGGAATATTATTTACTAACAAAAGAAATGAATTGCTACAACAAGAAAGAGCCTTAAAATCATGCTAAATGGAAGAAGCCAGTCACAAAAAACTATATACTAGTATACATAGATTCTATTTACATATGTCCTAAAAGCAAAACTTCAGAGACAAAAAGCTCCTCAGGATTAAGTCTAGTGATATAGGAAAAGGGACTGCAACCAGGCAATAGGTATCTTTAGAGATGATGGAAATATTCTAAAACTGGATTGTGGTGATGATGGCAAAACTATATATTTACTAAAAGTCATTAAGTTGTGCACTTAAAATAGGTAAATGTCATGTCATGTAAATTATACCTCAATAAAGCTGTGTTAAAATAGAAGTATACTAAAAAAATTTTGATATTTGTGAAATACCCATTCAAAAAATGTCCATTTTAGCACTACAAACACAGTATAAACACACCCAAATTAATAAAAAATCAAAGCCCCTTCTAGCAGCCGATGTCAGATACCCATACAACTTCTGGTTTTACCTAGTGATAACACTTCAGTGAGAAACTCTTTCAAGACAGCTTTACTTCTGAATTTTACACACTATTATTATAGTTTACGACTTCCACAACACCACCTAAACATTCCCAGTCCCATGACAGAAGGAATTCCCACATAAATGGCGGAAGAGAGGGGACACTGAGAGCAGAAGCAGCAACCAGCACTGAAGCAGCACACTCCGTATGTGCCAGACACCACGTCTTTGTGGCTTAGTTCTCCACGTTACTGTCTCAGCCTGGCTCCGAGCCAGAGCTTCAGAATATGCTCTTCAATCTCTCAAGAAAGAAAACAATGTTTTTCATACACTCAAATATTCTCACCACAGGGGCAACAAGGGTATTTTCTTCCTTTTTAAAAATTTTAACAAAATCGACTTTTAATTAAACTGAAAAAGTCAGAAGCACACTTTCCACCCCAAATAACCAACTTGTGGAATCACATACAGCTCAATTCACTTTTCAAGGGATGTTGCGTGTTACCTAGCACTTTTGAAGTATTTTCTCTACTAATTTTATGATGTATATTCTTTACTTAATCCTCAGACTGAAATGAAGTATTCTAACACTCATTATAAAACTACTTTTCAAATATTCATTAGAGCAACAAAGATGGGAATAATTTATATGCTATATTATTTGCATGCTTTTGTGACTGAAAAGAAAATGAAATTAAGTTGTTATTAGAGAATTCTAAAAGCCAGGGGTATATCTTACATCTCATCTAATTCAACTCATTCCCAGATATTTCATGGCAGAGAGGGAACCCCGAAATACAAACCGTGATCCGTAGACCAGCATTCTTTTCATTGCACACTACTGTCTTGGCTTAGGACACGTGTGTGCGCATGCGCACACACGACTATTACAGTAACTATGAATAACAGTCTCAGATTTTCAAGAAAATTTGAAGACTGAACTGCTATCCATTAAAAGTTATCACATTAACCTTCTCTTCAAAACAAATCAGATTCATAGTTAGATATAACACTTCTTTTTCATGAAAAAAATGTCAATCCTCTTACTGTTTGAAGGTCTAAACTCATAGTTTTAAATTATGATGATCATACATTAATAAGACCTTAAGATAAATTTTAAACACATACCGTAGCTATTAAGAGAAAAAGGTATGTAAAAAGTTTGCTGCCAGAATAGAAATAATTTTAATACAGAATGATTGAATCAAGTTATTATAGACAATCATACCCATGTGTACAATACATAAATATTAACAGTAAATTATGCTCAATTAAATCACAAAGGTGATGAACTTAAAAAAGAAGTCAGTGAATGACTGAGAACCAAGAATTAATATTGCTCTCAATTATTTGTAGTGTATTAGCAAACAAACATTTCTCCTCAGTTAACAGGACACAGAATTTTAAGAAAAACCTCCTAGAAAGTGTGCTCCAGTACATCTTGGCTTGTCCTTTATAAAATAGTACACTGAAATCAAAAGGAAAAAAGAATGGACTGATGAGACAATTTGCCTCCAGGCTCTTTATCATATTCTCCATTATCATGGCTGTGAATAACTATCAGATCACCAGTGAGCTAGAAGTCTGAGAGATAAATGTGGTCCAAAGAATCCTCTTATCTACTGACCTATCAGTTCTCAAAGTGTGAAAAAATTTAATCTTTTATAATAACCCTGAAAGTCTGTTCTTGTCTCAATTACTATTTAATGAAACCATCACTTTATCATACTGAACATGGAAATAGCCAAAGCTCTGCAATTTATCAGGAAAAGGAAATTTAAAAATAGAATCCAAGTGATTACAATTTTTTAGAAAGACTTTCTTAGATACTGATAATTATTTTAAATGATGGCAACAGCCATGCAGAGCCAAATCCTCAAAGTGCTTCCTATTGAAGCACTGGCTGTTTCAATCATATGACATGTCTTTCTCAAATTCTAGAAACAAATTTATGATGTTGAAACTAGAAGTTAATTAAGTATAAGGACTAAAACTTGAGAGGAAAAAAAACCTTAAAATATTTTTTACCATACTCTGCTTCTGGAAGGTTACAGGCTGAATCCAGAAAACTTCTGCTACACTAACATGGAAAAATTTTGTTTAAACAAACTTAACTAGCAGAGGAACCCAATTTATTGCATTTATCATGTACTAAGTAATACAACTGATTTTTCAAAAAAATGATCAAACAACACAAAACAGTAATAATGAACTTGCTCACCTTCCCTTTTCAGCCATTTCACAATGTTCCCTTCTTCCATTGTCGGAGACAGGGATGGCATCAGTATCTTAATAGGATCAGCTGAAAGTGAAAAAAAGGAAAGATTAGCCACAAAAACATAATGCACCTCACAAGGCATCAATAGAAAGTTCAAGTAAATTAATATCAACTTCAATTTGAGGAAGAAAATATTCCAAAGTTGAAAAGACTCCTAACTGGTCAAACTAAGTATAGAAATAGTATAGAAACATGAAATTCTCAACTTTTAAAAATTTTTTTTGAATATTTTCAACTCCTTTCTAATAGTGTGCTCTGCATATTTTTAAGCCAATGATTATAAAATTAAAAAATAGAAAAATTGATTTATATTTCATCTTCTCCATCCCCTTTTGTTGATGTAAAAGTATTTACAAATAAAATGATCAACAAAAAAGACAAATAATTAAAAGAAATTAAGAGTTCTGATAACCTATAACATGTATCAGCTTTTTTCACTTTTTACACGAAATGAAAATGTTTGCATAGCTTAATGAAAAACAATCAAGCACATTTGCCCACAGGATGTTCAGCCAGCCTAAGCCCGAGCATTTAGTTTCTGAGAACTGGGTTTTGAAAAAGGAAACTAATATGAAAAAATCCTACAATCTAATAGCACCATGATAAGAGGCCAGCCTCTCCTTGAAGACACAGCTTAAAACAAATCCCAGTTTGTTGCTTCTAAGAAAAAGATCAAGGCTGGCATTATGAGAGAATATTTCATAGGCACATGCATATTAAATTTATATCAAATAGAGTTCCACTTCAAAGAAGCAAAATAAATGGACCTCATTGCTTCTAAGTCCAGATTCCAATTTATGACAAACACTAAATCACTTTTCTCAAAACAAAGTCTGTCTTCAATATTTTTACATTTTGGTTGTAGCTGCCATGATACAATTCATATTTATGATTCTTTCTGCCAATATAATCTCTCACCTAACAGACCTTCACATTTCCATTATTCCTGACATTAAGGACTATATTATAAAATTTCTGCATTTATTATTGTTTTCAAAATTACCACATCAAAAGCTGCAGAATTGCCCATATTTTAAAATAAAAAGAATGTAATCATTCCTAATACAGCCAGCCTCCATGGATGAATTGAAATTGCTTCTCTGAATAATAACAATAAAATATAAAAATTGTGTAATAAATCACTACCCTTATTCTGAAATGAAGGTGACAAAAAACATAGACAGTCATTTTAGACATCTCCATTATTCAGTAATATCTTTTGATTGATTATACTGGCTTACTTATGGCAGGTAAAATGTGCAATGTATTTACTTTTTTTAAAAAATTCTCCAAGTGCTTAAAGTATTATATATATATATCTCTCTCCCCTCCCCCCATTTGTATTTTGTGATTAATTTAACCAATCTATCCTCAAACTGTCATGCTGGAAAATAATTTCAAACATAAGCATTAATTTATTAATAATGGTACATATTTCATTCTAATATATATCGTCTTTCAACTGGAGCATTATACACATCTTTTTCAAATGTATATTTCCAGTAGAAAAGTAATTATACAAGCATTAATATCAGCTTTGAGTGACAGAGCTGCACATAATTAATATCCGCTCTTTGTGGTTGCCATAAATTCCACTGAGATAGTGTGGGCTTTTCTAGACCTCTCAGAATTTTAACCTATACCTAATATTGTTTAATTTCACTAGAAATTAAATAGCTTCCCTTTTCATTCCAGTATGCAATACATTCTACCCTTCTCCTGTCAAATTGAGGACACCTGGAAATGTGCACCAAGTTATATTTTCTATGAAAAACTGGGCACACTTCTGGGTAAAAATAAAGGAAGTGTGGTCTCCCCAACTTCTGCTGGTCATTCAGGCTATTTCACAATTAACTATAAAAAAACACCCCATATTTTTTGTTGGAATTTAATCCCTTTTAAGTCATTTTAGTGTTCTGTCCCTTTCTATCAAGCTAACAAACTACACTAATGGTTAATAAAGTCTGTCCTTCTGTAGCAATTTAAAAAATATTCAAAATGACTACAGTAATGTACATTTCCAGTTTATATGTTAATTAAATATATATTTTAATTTGGTTTGATTTTTAAATTTTAAAAATATATTTCCATTGATTTTTGGAGAGAGAAGGGAGAGGGAAACATCGATTGTCTGTCTCCTGCATGCCCCCTACTGAGATTGTGCTTACAACCCGGGCATGCGCCTTCTCCTGGAATGGAACTGGTGACTCCTGGTTCTTGGGACAACACTCAACTACTGAGCCACACCAGCAGGGCTACATGCTGATTTTAAAAGTAGCATCTCACAAGTCATTCAAACTGTCTTAATCTTTTTTCTTTTTCATCAAATGAATGACATAATAAATTTAAAAAATTTTGTTTGCTTAGCGTATTGCTGCTTTACCTGCCACATCAGGCACACAAGCAATCTTTCAATCACTGAATTGTTATAGCTGTTTCCCTAAGCAATTCTTACATTTCTGCAAATTTGCTCTTCCAATCTTTCTACAGCACAATTCTGCCTTCCACATCAAATATAGTACACTGATAGAATTCTAGTTTCTTATTCCTTAAAGTATTTCTTTTGCCCTAAAAGCAAAACATTTCTACTTCAGGCAAAATCAATTATACCAAAGCTTTAAATTGAGGATCTAGATAAGTTCTAAAAGTTCTCAAGATTAAAAAAAAAAAAAAAAAAAAAATAATGTAAGCATATACATGTAGATCAAATTGCTTTATGGCTAACATGAAGCAGATCTCAGCAGTTTGTATACATGGTGCAGGAGTTATTCTGGCTGATTTATACCACTAGAATCCAAACACAAAAATCATAAAATGCAGATAGACCAATGAAGAAGGAAAATACTTTCTTAGAATGGCTCCCCGTTCCTAACATTAATTTGCTTCTCCTCTAATAGGGAGAGATACTGCTCATTTAATTACCTCTCTTTTCAAGGCAAGAACTCATTAAGTTTAATTGAACCTTTAAAACTTCCATTCAAAGAAAACAATTCTGCCACCTGCAGGCTGAATAAAATAAAGCAGAATGAAGTATCCTATCTAATAAAAGAGTAATATGCAGATTGACCATCAGTCCAACACACAAGATTGCTGCCCCCATGTGGTCAAAGATGGCTGACCCCATGTGGACACAAGATAGCTACCACAAGATGGCAAGCAGGGGAGGACAGTTGGGAGGGACCAGGCCTGCAAGAGAGGGCAGTCAGGGGTGACCAGGCAGGCAGAGGATGGAAGTTGGGGGCAAACAGGCTGGCAGGGGAATGTTTAGGGGGTGATCAGGCTGGCAGGCAGAAGCGATTAGGGGCAATCAGGAAGGCAGGCAGGCAAGCAGTTGGGAGCCAGCAGTCCTGGATTGTGAGAGGGATGTCCAACTAGATCAGGCCTTAATAAGCAGTTGGACATCTCTCAAGGGGTCCCAGATTGGAGAGGATGCAGGCTGAGCTGAGGAACCCTCCCCCCTCCACCCCATGCACAAATTTTGTGCACCGGGCCTTTAGTAGGTGCATAAAATATCAATGGATGACAACAGAAAATGTATGCATAACAGTCCAGAGGAAAATAGCATTTACAAGTCTTGGTATGGTATAAAAACATGTAAGAAATGCCCCAAACAGTAAATATAGAATAATCTAATTTCTACTACCTGCTCAGCTTATACAAAAAGACTTTGAAAGGATATACTCCTAAATGACCAGAGTGTTATATCTAGTTGGTGATATTATTTTAAGTGGTTTTCATTACCTTTGTTTTTTATAGTTTACACTAGAGGCCCAGTGCATAAATTAGTGCACAAGTGGGAGTCCCTCGGCCTGGCCTCTGGGACAGGCCAAGGGACCCCCCATCAGTGCATGATCGGGGCTGGGGAGGGAGCTGGGAGGTTGGCCAGCCAGAGAGGGACCGCAGGAGGGCTCCAGGCATGTCCGGCCTGTCTAGCTCAATCCCAATCGGCCAGACCCTAGCAGCAAGCTAACCTATCGGTCAGAGTGTCTGCTCCCTGGTGGTCAGTGCACGTCATATGGAGTGGTTGAGTGGCCTTAGCATATCAATAGCACAATGATCAGCAAACTGCAGCTTGAGAGCCACATGCAGCTCTTTGGCCCCTTGAGTGTGGCTCTTCCACAAAATACCATGTGTGGGCATGCGTGTACAGTGCGATTGAAACTTCGTGGCCCATGTGTAGAAGTCGGTTTTCAGCTCTCAAAAGAAATTTCATTTTATTTTTAAATCATTGTACTGTTGATATTTGGCTCTGTTGACTTAATGAATTTGCCGACCACTGCATTAGCATATTAACTTTGATTGGTTGAATGGTCGACCAGACACTTAGCATATCATGCTTTTATTATATAGAATATTAACTTTCTACAACAAATTTATCTAATTTCACTTTCTCCCTAAACTTATCTAATATCTAAAAAAAAGTGTACTTTTGTTTTTGTTATTTTAAAACACAAACCTACAAGGTCAAGGGAAAAAGGGGCATCTCTAAACTACTGACTAGCCTATTTTTGCTTTGCTTACTCTAGATCATACTTAGCCATTACTTACTCTAGAAACCATTAAAATTAAGAAGCACTTCACTACTGTTCTACTTTAATCTACCTGTCATAGTAACAGACATGCCAATCAGTGATTCCCAACTCATCCTTCCTTTTTGAAAAGAAAATGTCCAAACCACAGGCTTTGAAAGAATTTGCCCTATGTGCCCTGGGTATGACTGACCTACAATGAGTCAACAGCTTCACTCCAGGGAATCTGGAATTAGATCAAAGAGGTAGTGCCCACTTGAACTAAACTGAAAGATCATGGGGCATAGGGCCTGAATCTGCATTAAGGCAACACTAGCTGACATTACAGAAAAAGAAAAGCTATGAGTAAACAGATTGGCAAGTTTACGAAAACAACAACAACAACAACAACAAAAAACAAAAAACACACACACAAAGTAAATCAGAGAAAGAGAGAAAGACAGATGATGGGAGCCATAGAAGAAATGGATGAAATCATCACAGTTCCCCATGGCCCAGCAACACTTCATATATGTGCTACTTTATTCTTGTAAGAAATCTTATTTTTACTTCAGCTATTCTGTTTGTTGCCACAGTTAAAAGAATTTCAAAGAACAGTATCAGTCTTATCAGTTTTAGCATAGAAGCACTTAATAAGGATCAGGCCTAAAATGGTATCCATGCTCTGGCAAAAATACTGTACCATCAACTCTTACCAAAGAATCTGCCTGTCACTGAACTGCTATCAAAAACGCAGATGCCTGCAGGGAATAATCAGGTGAAAGAAAGCGGCTAGCAACATCTAAGGTTTTTTCTTTAGATCTAGACATGCTTTATTTTCATATTAAACCCATAAAAACTCTCTTCCTTTGTATACACACAGTATCTGACCTCTGCCACTTTTCCTGGTCTATCTTTTGTCATCTGCTTTCTACAGCAGATAAAGATACAAGAAAAAAAATGACGACTAGAGGTGATGACATATATATACCTAGGCACATACAGCCTTGCTGGCAGAGAATAGTGGAAAGTATTAGAAACTAGAAAGTAAACTAGAAAGTGATTTCCTACCTAAAGCGAACAATCGTTACTCAGTTTTAACTAATTGTCACCATATTGACCTTAAAATTAAATTTGCAAGAAAATATGAAAATCTTTATTTTTATGTAAAAATTTTAGCTATCTATCTATCTATCTATCTATCTATCTAATTACTGGATTAATCCTCATCCAAGGATATTTTTTCTGCCATTGATTTTTAGAAAGGGTGGTAGGGAGGGGGAGAGACACAAAAAGAGAAACATCCAGGTGAGAGAGACTCATTGATTGGTTGCCTCCCACCCTCGTCCTGACGAGGGGCTTGGAACCAACCCTGCAATCAAGGTACATGCCCTTGACCGGAATCGAACCCTCAACCCTTCAGTCCAAGGACAACACTCTAACCACATGAAAAACCAGCGAGGGCAAAGTTTCTAGTTTTTAAATGTTGTCAATAAATTTAATTTTCTTCTAAAACGACATAGGTCAGTTCACTGGCTGCCAATTTGCAATCATAGCGTGGACCTCTGCGTCCTTTTATAACTTTTCAGATTTTTAGTTTCCCTAGATGTTTATTTAACATCTAAAATATGCAAGGCCTGGAGCTATATATTAGGCAAAAGCACTACAAAGGTTGGACCTCATTCATTTTTCTCCTCATGTTATTTTAAATGCAACAGGTTATTCCTCAGAAAGAACTTAAAACCAATATTATTAACATCTTAGTTATTAATATTAATTAAATTCAAAATCATGCCATTCAGTCTAAAAGGGCAGCAATGGAAACTTCAAAATTAACTGCCTAGACTATTTTGAAAACATGTTTACAGATGCTATGTCACATATGTAAACACACATCTGTCGTTGGGGCCTTTGCATCAGCTGTTCTTTTAGCCTGGGAGGGCTGCCACCTGCAGGAAGCCTTCTTGTGTACTCCCTTATTATCCTCAGCTTACTTCTCAGAGCTCACTACGCACACTAGTGAAATCATGCCATTATCCTTTATTTCCCCAAGAAGTCTGTACACACCTTAAGGATAAGGTCTAGAACAGAATTTAGGGCTGCAACTCCAGGAGCGAGGCAGAACAAAAGCATGTAGGTGAAAAGGTAGGAGACAAAGTTTGGCTCAGCATTAGAAAAAAAATCCAAAACTTTCAAATAACTTGTAGCTACCCAACAACACAATCAGCTTCTGTGGTGAGCAGAATGATGCCCACAGCCCCTCTTCGCTGCCACCCCATAAAAGATGGCCAGGTCCTAACACCCAGTACCTGTGACTATGTTATGTTACATAGCAAGGGCGAGTTAAGGTTTAAGAAGGAATTCAAGTTGCTCAACAGCTGACCTTGACATGGGGAAAGCATCCTATTATCACGCACACGGACACAATATAACCACAAGGGTCTTTATATGTGAAACAGGGAGGCACTAGGAAACTAATACAGCTTCCTTGCAGATGATGCTCCAGCCGTTAGTGTTCATGGTGTGGGGACCACGGAGGGGGGAGGGTGAAATGCCACCATACATCAGATAAGGATTGCCTAAGTGAGTTTCTAAACGCATGGGTCCTTCAACTGGGTTTGAGGAACCCCTCTGAACCTGCATGAACACATGCCCCTTTCTCTGTGGAGAAGATCTAGAGCAGTGGTTCTCAACCTTCCTAATGCCGCGACCCTTTAATACAGTTCCTCATGTATAAAATTGTTTTCGTTGCCACTTCATAACTGTAATTTTGCTACTGTTATGAATCGTAATGTAAATATCTGTGTTTTCTGATGGTCGTAGGCAACCCTGGTAGTGGTTCTCAACCTAAGACCAGCAGAAAATACAGATATTTACATAAGGATTCATTAACAGTAGCAAAATTACAGTTATGAAGCGGCAACTTTATGGTTGGGAGTCACCACAACATGAGGAACTGTATTAAAGGGTCGTGGCATTAAAAGGTTAAGAATCACGGAGAGCATCCAAATATTCTCAAAAGGATCTGTTTTACAAACAAGGTTAAGAACACTCTTCCCAGATTATTTCCAACACGGGGCTTTTACTATTCCATGATTTTTCTAAGGCAGTGAGTCTCAAAGTGTAGCCCAACAAACACCAACCCAAAACATCAAAACTCCTCTAACCGCAGGCAGCTCTCTTAATTTCAATAATTAATAAATTGGGAGGAAAGAAAAGTCTAGACACAGTTAAAAAACAACAACACATTGTTCAGAGTATTTTATGAATCATTAATCTGAAGAAACTGAAATAAGCTGTTCCCATCACCAAATCCTTAGAAATCCCAGCGCACTCATCTTACCGTGTCGCTTGGTGTAACTTTTTTTTTTTTTTTTTTTTTTTTTTTTTTTTTACTCCCCTGAGCCTCGGGTAGCCCAGAATGCAGGCAAATATCTACTGCACCTAATTTTTCAGATTAAAATTCATTCCGTGTAGTGCCAGAATGATCACTGGCAGGTAATGCGTCACATTAAAAAATGTTAGCTCTATGACCGCGCCCCTCCCACGTGTAAAAAAATAATAATATGTATATACAATGCCCTATGTATATACTATTAAGTACCGGAAGAATTGTTACTTATATCGATTATCATTAGTAAATGCCGATTTCCTATAATAAACTTCATGAAATGATTTTCCCCTCCTAATTTTTCACTCTTTCATGCTCATGCTTTGCCAGGCCTGTCTGGGACGCCGTAGGCATTTAGAAATCACGTCCTTTACCAGCACACCGGGTGGCAAAGACCTCCCACTACAGAAAGGCCAAAAGAATGAATAACAGCCCAAAGTAGCTTTCTGAATCGAAACAACCTTAGGCAGCTTCTCCCGGACAGGGATGCTGGACGACCCTAAAGGAACTTGAGACGTGACTGGGAAGGGGGCCTGAGAGAAGGGCGTTTAGGACTTATCTTCGCGCCTTTCAAAAACCAACAACAAACCAACCCAAATTCCAAGGCAAGGTCAAGAGAAGCCATACCAACCAGGGGCCACAGACAGTCAAGTTCCCCCAGCTCCAAAAGGCTGCCCTTCGGGGCATGCACTCATCAGACCCCTTCCCGAGGAAAAAGGCCCAGGGAACCGAGAGCCCGAGTACGTCCACAGCCAAAGGCAGGCCCTCCAGGAAACAGCCCTTTGCCTGAGCCAGGCCCAGGGTGTCCAGTTCCGCAGAGAAGCCGAGCGAACCGCGACCACTCACCCCGCAGCCAATGCGTGCCGTGAAGCCATCTCCAGCCAGCTCCGCTGCCGGCCGGCCACCCAGCAGCTCCCTTCACCAGCCCCAGGCCTCGCCGGCCGCCGAAGCCCAGGAGAGAGCGCAGCATCCGCAGGTCACAGCCGAGCCTCCAGGAGGCCGCCATCTTTCCGGCCTTTCTCACAGGCTCCCCGCCGCACTGCCTGATCCCTCTGTCATCAAGCCCCTCCCTGGCCCCGCCCTCACCCGGCTAGCCACGCCCCCTAAGTACCAGCCACGCCCCATATGTGCCAGCTGTGCCCTTGAGTCTCGGTTAAAGCCTCTTAGCCCCGCCCCCAGCCTCGCTGGCCCCGCCCCGGTTCAGGCTGCAGCGCTGCAGGCTACCCAGTCAGCGAGGCCCTCTCCCAGCCCCGCCCCTCGCCTGGTCCGCCCCGCCCCTGGGCTGTCCTCAGATTTGCCTGCTTGTATTTTAACATCTCGCCTCGGTAGTGCAGGCGTGCGCATATTGATTGAAGGCCACCGGTTCCCCTGCAGTCAGGGCCATGTCTGACTGTCCGGCTCTGGAGGGAGATTGTTGCAGGCGGCGAAGCTGCATGCAGGTAGGGGCGGGGCCGCCAGTGCCTTTTATTCCCAGGAGGCGAGGCGCTGCGGATGGGATGCGCCGGGGGGCTTCCGGGGCTGCTGGATGCAATCCCCACGTGACCCCGGCGGGCTGCAGCCCACGCTGCACAGGGCGACCTGAAAGCTGGCGCCGCTCGCATGGGCTGGGCTGCATCCTACAGTGGGAACTGGGCACTTCCGTTAAAAATAAAAAAGGGAAAAATAACGGAGGAGAGTCCTAAATGTGTGTTTCAGAGCAGCTTGTCATTGTCAGGAAGACAGGCCAGTCGAGGAAATGTGCTTCCCTGGAGTGAACCTGAGCCTAGACCGAGCTTTCCAGGGTCCCTTTGCAGCACTGGCCACCAGCTTGAGGTTTGCCAGGCACACGGGGAACCTCCGTCTGGCCCGCGGCTGTGCCTCCGTAGCCAACACGGTCCCTCGGAGCAGGTTTCCTGCCTCCGTGTAGACTACAGTGATTATGGGATGATCATAGCAATGATTCTTCCTTAAATTGAGGTCAAAAGGAAAATCCACCCTGGGCTGTATACACACCCACAATTTTATGGAGCTCCTCTGTGCTCATGAATACAGCGGTGATTAAGGCAAAAGGCCTACAGTGTAGGGATACCTGACAAATGAACAACTTCGGTGCATTGTGAGAAACCTTGCTTAAGAAGCAGAGATAACATTAGCCCCCTCATTCCTTCCCCATTATTCTTTCTTAGGGCTGGCGGTCCCAATGAAAAAGTAATAACCAGCCAGAGATTTTGTGACATACTTGTGGGGGAGGTGAACTTTTCCTCTACCCTTCTAGGTTTTTTTGGCTGGTCCAATAATTAACATGAGACAGATTAATAAGAAAAAAAATGACTAAATTAAATTACATAGTACATAAAGGAACCCCACATATACATACTAATGAGAGCCAGGGCCCCCATATGCATGAGGAAGGTCATTCTTTGAAAAGAAGAGCGGATGTTAAGTAATTAGAAGCTTGCCCTGCCTTATAGGCAGGTCATGAAGAGTTATTTTTGGTAATAACTCTTATGAGCAAGGCCCCAAATTTAAAGTCTTTAAGGGAGAAATAAAGGTTTCTCCTGAGTCTGCAGGGTCTCGATTGCCTTCTGCTCAAAATTACTCGGGTGCCAAAGTGGCACATCTTAGGAGGCCTGTTCTGAACCCCTTAAGTTTCTCTCCAAGTATTTTGATGTCCTACTTCTAGCCTCTGAGCACCTCAGGCAGGCCTCTGGGGAATTTCCTCACATCCCCCTAAGTAGCTACCTCAAAACCCCACCATCTAGCCTCATCCTCTACCCCAAGCGACCTTGAGTTTTCATCAGTTTTCTCATCCAAAGTTAATCCTTCTAAAATACCTTCTAAATCCATGTCCACCATCACTTCTTGCAATTTCCTTTAAAAACTCTTTCCACAACCTCCTTCCTGGTGTGGTCTTTTGTTTCCTTGGTCACCACTCTCATCCTCTCCTTTCCACTGCCACAATAGAAATGTTGCCAACCCAAGATCTGGTCATGTCATCTGTCTGAAACTGTCCAGTGGTTTTCACGTACCTATAACAGAAGTCCCAGCTCTTGTGCATCTGCCTCTCTCTCTCCTCCATTCCACAGAACCTAATTTATAACCAGTTCCAAATACTGGAGTTCTCTGACTGAAATGCCCTTTCTCCTCTTTATCTATCCAGCTTATTCCAAGTCCATTAAGACTTAGCACAACCATCCCCTCCTCTAGGATGTTTTTCCTAACTACCACTCCCTCCCACCCAGCTTTCTGCTCCCATAATGCCCAGGACCACCTTGAATTGTATGTTGCTTTGTCACATCATAACTGTTTACTTCTTTACTAGATTGTGAGTTCCTCAAGGGTAAGAATTTTATTTTCCTCATTTTCATTTCTTTGGCACCTTCAGCAAAAGTTGCTGAATGACTAAATGAATGAATGAGAGGGCTCCATAATTAATACCAAAAGAAAGGCACATAGAACCAAATCTGTGTTACTGAGTCCAAGGAAGGAGTGATATTTGCTACCATGAGAGAAGGAAGATAGGTGAAGTGGGTAGGGGCCTGGTGTAAAGGCTGATAAGAAGGAATCTGGCAGCTAGAGCTGGGATTATTAGAGATCCAGCATAAGCAATAACAGTGCAAAGACAAAAAAAAAGGGATTCTTGGCTGGCAAGAAAATGTCTTAGTTATCTATTGCTGCGTAACAAGTGTCCCAGAACTTAAGCTTAAAACACAAACATTTGGTGGACCAGTTTCTGAGAATTAGGAATCCAGGACAGTTTAGTTGGAGGTTCTGGCTCAGGGTATCCCATGAGTTGGCAGCCAAGCTGTCAGCTGGAGCTACAATTGATCTCAGGACTTGACTTCAGCCAAGTTGTTGGCAAGTCTCTGTTCCTCACTGATTTTTTACCACAGGTCTCAGTTCTTCATCGCATAGGCTGTAGGAATATCTTGAGCAGCTGGCTTTCCTCATACCAAGTGAACTGAGGAGAGAGGACAACCAAGATGGAAGCTGTAGTCTTACAGCCTAATCCCAGTAGTGACATAGTACCGTTCTGCAGCAGTCTGTTGGGCATACAGACCAACCCTGGTACAATGTAGGAGAGGAACTATATACCATGTTGTGAACACCAGGAGGTCTTTAAGAGCCTTCCTGATGATTGACATCCACAGCTAGGATGAATAGAACTGGGAAATTTATGTTAAAAAAAGTGAAAGTATTTGAAAAGTTAAATTAGAAGTTAAATTAAAAGTTAAATTAAAAAGGAAAGGAGTTCAATGATCAAAATAGTTTATTATTTTAGTACTAATAGTAGAGTGAAGGGTAAGCTGGAGGAGAAATTGTAGGCAAGGAGACCAAATAGGAAAAGATAAACTTAATCCTCCCCAAATATCAGTCTCTGAAGGATTTTCTACCCGAGTATTGCAAAATAAAAATAAGGACAGTAAAAAAAGTGAATTTCACAAAATTAATTGCATTTTATTTCAAGGATTAGCTTTCATTCTGAGGTTATCTTTTCTACTTTTCTTATGTTAAAAAATGTACTTTATTTTTGAAAGAAGGTGATAGTAATTGTTAAGTATAATTAATCCTATAACTTGACAACCTATGTCAGTCCCTAAAATTTAAAAAGAAAAACTACTGGTCTTGAACTTCACTAGTCTGAGAATCACTGATCCAGATTATTAATATAAGGAAACTGATACCCAGAAAGGGTCACTGACTTGCCTTAGGGTCTTCAGGTTTCTAGTTCGGGCGTGACTAATGTGAAGAAGAGTTTTGTGTGTGTGTGTGTGTGTGTTTTTTAAAATATAGTTTATTGATTTTTTCACAGAGAGGAAGAGAGAGGGATAGAGAGTTAGAAACATCGATGAGACAGAATCATCAATCAGCTGCCTCTTGCACACCCCCTACTGGGGATATGCCCCCAACCCAAGGTACATGCCCTTGCCTGGAATCGAACCCGGGACCTTTCACTGCGAAGGCAGACGCTCTATCCACTGAGCAAACCGGTTTCGGTTGAAGAAGCATTTTTAAATGTGGCAAAAGGCTTTGAGTGGAGGTGAAGTTGTATAGAAAACCAGTATGCGCCTAGAGGATGGTGAAACAGATGTGCGGAAAGCAGCAAAAACCAGAGACAGACAATGCTGACAGTTTTGCTGTGTCTACATCCAGTCCCTTCCTGGGGCCAGGGTCAGGAACAATTGTGACTGAAATGATTACTGATAATCTCATGGCCATATGGAGATAACTTTTTATTACTGCAGACAAGAATAAACTCATTTCAAGCTGGTCTATTTTAATATTTTTTGTGTAATTGTCTTTGTTTCAGGCTAGACAAGGTAAAGGGAATCATTGTTAGTGTGCTCTTAGAGGGTGTCAGGCCTGTGCATGCATATTTAGGAGGAGGAATATACTATGGTTATGTATGCTTGGGGCCATCTTTAAGCTATTTTACAACTCTGAGTTGTAGGTGACTGACAGCAGTGCAGATGATGATTGTTCATAGAGATTAAGGTTGAATTGTGGTAGCAGTTGTGACATCTTTCTGGTTCCCTCATTAATTGATGGGTTAAATAATATCCTTAACACAGGCTTATTTTATATTTGTATTAGAATCTCCAAGAAAACCGGTCTGAGCAATACAAGCCTCTACACTATGCTGTATTGAAACAAAAAGTAGAGGAGAGAATCTGAGCCAAGGTTGGCTGTCAGGTATCTCAGCGATGGTTGAGACTGATTTTCTTAAAAAGCTCGATTGAAAAATTGAAAAAATAAAATGCCGGTTCAAACGCCTTAGACTTTAATGTCTTTAATATTTGCAAGGCACTGTGTACTGGTAAGTGTTCTTCCCTCACTTAGACTAGGACCTCTGCTATAAGCAGTTGATTGTAATCCATCTTTAGATATGTCTATCTAAATTCTTATTCTAATTGAAAATCAGATGTAACAATAATAGACAAGTTATGTCATTGACATTCAGGGGAAAACTAAATACCAAAAACCTTTCCTTCCTGTCAATTCTTGTTACAATATATATATTCTTGCCGGGACTGGTTTGGCTCAATGGATAGAGCGTCGGCTTGGAGACTGAAAGGTCCCGGGTTCGATTCCGGTCAAGGGCATGTACCTTGGTTGCGGGCATATCCCCAGTAGGGGGTTTGCAAGAGGCAGCTGATCGATGACTCTCTCTCATCGGTGTTTCTAATTCTCTATCTCTCTCTCTTCCTCTCTGTACAAAATCAATAAAATATATTAAAAAAAAAAATAAAATATATATATTCTTATTTTTACTTTGAACAACTTAAATGATTGCATTTTTACCAAATATATCTCTGTTGGTTCCCCCTGCTAAGTGATTATTCTTCTTGAAATTGTAAGTTTGTAGGTTTGAACAATTGAATGAAATTGCATTAACAACAGCTGCCTTCTCATTGTTATTCCTGTAGAATGAAGCTGGCTAATTGCTATAATACCTCAGTACTGGAAAAGACAAGAGGGCAAAGGGAGACCCTTAATAACAGACCATTTTTCTATAATGTTTGGAACTTGCTGTGAAAATTGGTGGTTCTAAGGATTGGAAAAGTACAGGAGTCTTCTCATTAGCTGTACTTTACTATATAATTAAAATAACATTTGTATCTCTAAAAAAGGAAATAGCAAATTATACACAGTATGGCTAGATTTAGTAAGGACAGATGTAAGAAAAACCAACATAGCTTGACTATTAAGTTTAATTCAAGAACTTTTAACTCATTAAAATGGGGAGGAAACTAACATTGTGTCACACATTGTGCTGGGTGCTTTATATTCATTTGATCTCATTTTAACCCTCATAATGTTCTCATTTGATGGACCAGTAAACTGAAACTCAAAGTCATGTAAGCATAAAATTATGTAATATGGATTTAAATGTATGTCCATTTACTCCTAAGCCATATGTTGAAACAGAACTTAAAAGGATGTCAGTGTTCCCATATTCTTAATTTTATATTGTGAATCTATTTCATCAAGTTATCATCCTATATAATAAAAGGCTAATGTGTAAATCAACTGAACGTCAGATTGACTAGTCTCTATGACATGCATTGACCACCGGGACAGTGCTGCTCAGCCAGACGTCAGGCTCATGGCTCTCCAGCCTCCATGGCAGCACTAAGTATGTCCAGCTGATGGTTTAGACATTAGTTGGACATCCCCTGAGGGCTCCTGGACTGCGAAAGGGTACAGGTCAAGCTGAGGCCCCCCCCCCAACCTTCACTCCAATGCATCATTTTTCATGCACTGGGCCTCTAGTTTATAATACTTACCTAAAATAAAATGTGTATGTCAAATATTAAAAGGTGAATTTAAAAACTACCATGATTTCATAAATCCAGTTAAGTAGCTGAAAATTCAGTCTGTTCAACACTAATTTGGATTCAAAGATGTTTTAATCCTTTTTACCCAGTGCCAAGATTTTGTAAGCAAGCTTCCGTGCTGTGCTCTTCTGCTCAGTGGGTCTATTTTAGATAGAGGGAATGACCCCTTGGAGTCTCTGGTGTATATAGCAATTTTCTGTTAGATGCCCTATTTGGGGCATGCCCTAGATTTTATCTGTGTTTCTAGTAGTTTGCATAGCTATCAAAATTGAAGTTCAAGGTCATCAGAGTTCTGCAAATACCTTCAGGGAAATGATGGCTTTGGAGCTCACTTCCCTTCCAGGTAGACTTACTCTTATTTCTTTTTTTTTATTTTTTTATTTTTTTTTTTTATTGATTTGAGAGAGAGCTGGAGGGAGAGGAAGAGAGAGATAAGCATTGATTGGCTTCCTCCTGCATCTGTCTCCCCTCCTGGGGATCAAGCCCACAACCTGGGCATGTGTCCAATAAAAAAAATTGAACCAACACAGAATATGAACAAAAAGCTGTTATAGTATGTCCTATATATAAGGCCTTACTGAATTACTTGGTGTAAAGAAATTTGCTAGATGACAAGCATGTTCCTTTCAACATTACATTTTACTTTATTTCAGCCATCTCAATAGACACTTTGTAATATACTGTATAATGGACGTTTCCCCACTTTGTTTTTGGAGCCTGTTTTCAGTAACGGACTATCGGCCTTATTCTGAATAACTTCTGGTTGCCAATTATATCATAGATCCACTTTCTAAAATCTAAAAACAAAGCATGTTTTATAATAGCTTTCTCTATCATAGTACCCTCTCTGTGGTAAATTTTTCTTCTTAAACTTCCTTAAGTTGGCTTATTAATAGAGATATCAATAATAAAAGCTACAATAGTCACCTGCTAAAATAACATCTATTTTAAAAATAATTTTCCTCTTTTGAAGGACAAGGAACACCCAAGATACCTGATCCCAGAGCTTTGCAAACAGTTTTACCATTTGGGCTGGGTCACTGGGACTGGAGGAGGAATTAGCTTGAAGCATGGGTAAGTTTTCAGCTGACTTCATTTCTGGGAATTCCCTGTAGAAGCAGACCATGGGGAGCCTAACGCACCTATGTCCAAACAACAACTGATGCAGTTTTATGTGATAGTGAAGGTATTGCATCTCCACTTTGAGAAGTAGGTATTTGCATCACAGAGTGGAACAAGTATGCTGAAGTTACAATATAATAAATAACTAAGGATTTTGGAACACAATTTCTAACCAGAATAATCGGGTCCTCGGTCTTTGGAGTCCCAAAGTAAATACATGCTGCCAATACGGAATGTTCATATGTCTGGAATTGCCAAGGTAAACAGGATTTGCCTTAAAGGTCCAGAGGCATATTTTAAAACCACTTAAATACAGATCACCAACTATCGAAATCCTAAAAATTATATGTTATTGAGTCAAAAGAAAGGCAGTATGCCTTTCTAAGCACATGTATCATTACTAATGGAGGTAGCACCTGATGGTCCATGAGGCTCGGGACAAAATAGGAGGTTCTGAACTAGAAACAGGACGAGTGAATAGTATTTAATACTTTATTCAATTATTCAATGTCTTTTCTCCAAGAGGATGAACAAATAGGCAACTTACTGACAATGAAAAGAGAGGTTAAGGCATCTCATTCTCTCAAGTGCTTCTCCTCCTGAAATGGTTAAGAATATTATTGTCTGGAGGCTGAATGTTAAACTGAGTAACTTGATTTATTTCTTTACCGTAACTCACTTTCTTTAAATGAAATCGGATTACTACAACATTTATATAATATTGAGAATGTATAATTTCTCAATATTATATAAATATAATAAATATTATATTGATTAATATAATCCCTGGCCTGCCGGGATCAGGCTGAATCCATGCAGGGGGTCCTGGATTGCGAGAGGGCACAGACCAAGAGATTAAACACAATCCAAGGAGGCTGGATTGTGTGAAAGGAATGTAAAATGTAGTCAGGACATTTGGGACAAAAGGATTTTATGGCAGCCGCAAAATGAGATGATGCCTTTGTAATTTCATCAGATTCAAATTACTGAGGAACTCATGAAATATTAATCGAAGTGGAAGTAACAGCAGGGGTCTTAGTCAGCCACTTTCTCAGTTACGTGTGTAGCGGAGGCACTCGGTCTGGGAAAGTCACATCCCATGAGGTGCATCGGACATTCATCTATGTCTCTTTCCTTACCATCAACCCAGTACCAATGTGCCAAGTCAGCATCGGGCAGGCTTTTGGGTTATTTTGCCAAAACTTTTGAGATGACCTGTTACTAGCAAAATCCCATGAAAACAATGTTTGTTGTTATTTCATGCATTTAGGAGTTGAGTCCTAGCATTGGTTTCTCAGCTGTATTATTCTAAGCATTGCCCTTAGTTAACACCTTTTTTTTTTTGCATATGCAGAAGTAGTTTGTATATGAACAGAATAGAGCTTTCTACCAAACTGAGCTAAAATAACCATTCTTAACTGGCTCTTTAGAAGAAAAGAAAGTGAAATTAGAAATAGAATGCAGATAAAGGGTCATTGCAAATCTAAACAGGGTTTTAAAAATATATATCTATATATATAAAAGCCTAAGGGACTGTTTGACTGGTAGCTATGATGGACACTGACCACCAGGGGGCAGGCACTTAATGGACAGGCATGGAAACAGAACAGACTGATGAATCTCAGAGGGAAGGGGGAAGATGGGAAGAGATTAATCAAAGATCTTATGTGCATACTAGAGGCTGGTGCATGGGTTCATGCACTGGTGGGGTCCCTTGGCCTGGCCTGCCGGGATCAGGCTGAATCCATGCAGGGGGTCCTGGATTGCGAGAGGGCACAGGCCAGGCCGAGGGACTCCCCCAGTGCATGAATCTGTGCACAGGGTCTCTAGTATAGACATAAAAGACTATGTTTTTCCTAAAAGAATTTTACTAATCCATATATTGAGTTGTGTGGTCACCCTAAAACACTCACTGACACCTTTTAAAAATTCAATGGCTTTTATAGCACTACAGACCGTTTATAGGAAAGTTGCCTCGTATGTAAATTTGTCTTAGATTCTTAATGGCTAAGGAGCTCCTCCTGGGGTTCATAAGTGGGAACAGCCACAGTTTTCTGGCCCTGCATTTGGAATCTTATTACATTTGTGCCTTACATAATAAACTAAGTAATTTGGACCAAAACATCCCACTTTTTTCCTAATACTTAAATGACTTTCCTAATACTTAAAAGCCCACATCAAGTACTTTGTCGGCAATATTATTCTCATGTTATTAGAGAAAGTTTGGTTTTCTTTGTCCGATGTTTAGGAATGAAATACACACCTATTAGATTATGTTTCAAAAATACTGACAATAAGCTCTTTAAGAATATAAAATTATTTACTGATTCCATGCTACTGATGTGTGATATCAAAAAAATGTATATAAAAGAGCTTAAGATGCACATAAGAATTAAGTCAGAAGAAGGAAATGGAGGACCAAGAAAATGACAGTGAGCAGGGTAATCCTAGGATACTCAGAGGCCATTGTATTTTGGTTGGGCACTACCATTCACATTTAGCATTTCCTGTTTTCCCAGCTGTAATATTATATGTCAGAGATACTAATCCTGTTGCATGCTATTAGACTTAAAGTTAATAAACTCACATATAGCCAAGATAATTAAGGCATAGTAAGATTCAAATGACTAGACAGTAAATAAAATAAATGTATTATGGACTCTTGGGTTTTGTCTGTCTGCTTACCACTTAAGAAAGAGCAGGGAGTTTAGAGAAATAAATTCCAAAACTTAATACCTTGAAATTTAAAATGCCTTTTGTTTGTGGCTTATGGCACCAAGTAAATACTTTACTTTTAGTCTCTGGCATATTTCCCTCCGAAGATAAAAGCTCTGTCATCTTTGCATTTTTATCCAGATACCTCCTTTTTGGTAGGTGTAAAAATACTTTTTAAAAAAAATCTATTTACCTAATCTTTTAATGACCAATGTCGACAAAGTCTGAACTAATTTTTATTTTACAAAGGCAGTACTAAAAACAGATTTGGCTCACCAATCACTTGAATAAACAGGATAAATACCCTGGATTTTCCTACTTTGTGGATGGGTTTTATTTATCAGCCGACTGTTTTGTACTTTACTTGGCTTTGTTCCCAGGACAGCCTGAGTTTTTCCCACATAAGAAGACCTGCAAGTCCACTTCCCACTGGAGGTCATTTGACTCCATACCACGCATGATTCTAGAGTTTCTTCCATGTGACTCAGGACAAAATATTTGGATCCCTCGTAGTTGTAAAGGGTCCTACCCACTCCCACGACTTCTGCTGCAGGGATTGGGGGGCCTTCCTTCTGCCACGGGCCATTTGGATATTTATGACATCATTTGCAGGCCATACAAAAGTATCTACTTAAAAATTAGCCTACTGCTGAAACCGGTTTGGCTCAGTGGATAGATGTTGGCCTGTGGACTGAAAGGTCCCAGGTTCGATTCCAGTCAAGGGCATGTACCTTGGTTGCAGGCACTATCTCCAGTAGGGGGTGTGCAAGAGGCAGCTGATCAATGATTCTCATCGATGTTTCTAACTCTCTATCCCTCTCTCTTCCTCTCTGTAAAAAATCAATAAGATATATATTTTAAAAATTAGCCTATTATACTTGGTCAAACATTTAATGAACTCACCCCTAATGCCTTGGCAGGGCCAAACCAAATGATTTCCCCGGGCTCTCTGAGGCCTGCGGGATGGGCGTTCCCCATCCCTGCTCTAGAGCAGCAGTCGCCAACCGGTGGTCCACAGACCACTGATGATCCATGAGGTCTGAAAGGTTGGTGACCGCTGGTCTAAGGAAATCTTTGGAACAGCAATCACCAACTGCTGGTCCCAGTGGTCCTTAAGGTTCGAAAAGTTCCAGTGGTCTGAAAGGTTGGTGACCACTGCTCTAGAGGAATGGCACTCTGTGGTTTTCTTTGCAACAAAGCTCTGAAGCACTAGCTACTTGGTGTAAACAGATGCGTGAAGGTTGCTTACTGTGCTTTGGATTTCCCTGCCATGATCAGGCCAGGCGTTTATTTTCTAGGCCTTAATTTACCAGGGGACCATTCAAGGAACATTCATCTCCTTACATCTTTGTCAGTTTACTAATGACCTGGACTTGACAGTTGGATTTAATAGAGGCTGCCATCCTCATTTTCACTATGAAACAGTATTTATTCAGTGTCCATGCCTCAGCGGCAGAAGCTAGAGCATGCATTTGCTGGTGTTTCCTTCGCTTGCACGTCTGGCAGCTCTGATACCCTCTGCAAGCCACTGAAACTGATAAATGAGCCAAAGGATCTTTCTTGAGTGGAGGAGAGAATTTAGAGAAGACTTTGAAATTAATTTCTCAAATCAAATTTGAGAGCACCTTGTGAATGATAGGGTATAAGACAACATCCTATAACAGAGATATCTCCAGATGTAGCTTTTACATTTGTCACTTTCATAATTGTTTTAGCTTTTATTTCCAAATATTTTCATAAGGTAGATGTGTTTTTCCAAACAGGAAGCATACTGTTCCACCCCAAAAGTAGCCCAGTTAATGCTGTAGTTTAATAAACTGCAATTTAACAAACTGTCCAGCAGAGGTCTCTGAACTTCATGTTTTCTAATAAGCGCATGCCTGCAGGACTTCTACTCCTAGTGAGCATGTCTCCTCCTGATTGGATTTTAGAGTAACTGCATTCCGCATGTGCTAGGATAAACTCTGCTCATTCATGCTTCAAGATCCATGCTAAAGACTTGTGTTTTCAGATTGTATTTCTCCACACCAGGTGAAAGCCTGGTTACCAATGATTTTGCCCCATGGAAAGAAATAATTATACATTCCAAAATATAGAAGACTCAAGCAACTTGCAGCATTTTACGCTGTCACCAGCATGGCAAAAGCATTAAAGTATTTGGTATTCTTTCTGTATGGCCTATACCGTTAATTAAATCAAGCTGTTACTTGATGACTTCATTATTCAGAACACTAATGATTGGACTTCAAGGATACATTTTTTTTCTTTGTGCAAAAGCAGAGCAATAGAGTTAACTAAATACCAATTTCTGTTCTTTGTGTTACCAGCAATGAAATCTACATTGCTCCGTCAGGAGTGCAAAAGGAACGGATTCAGGTATGGCAAAGAGGTTCTTCTTAAACCCAGATGTATTTCTTCTCTACTTCACTGTTGTTTTTGGAAATGGAATTAGTTGTAAAAGAAATGTTAGTTTTGAAGGGTGGTAATATGATGATAATTTAAATAACTAATCAACAAACATTAGTTGAATAACCATTAAATTTTTTTTAAGGTCGTAAGTGTCCTCCATGCAACCAGTATGAGTTGAATTCACATTCAACCTCTAGAGGGCAAAAGCGAATAGCACAATCTTAAGTCATATAGTAAAAGGGATTCTAACTTTGTAGCATTATAACTCCATTTTTATCAGACTAGTAGGATAATCAGATTGATGGTCTCAAATACACGGAGATGATTTCTATTTAATGATCGCAAAGCTATTCCAATTTTAAGTCGTAAAACTTATTTCAAATTTGGAGAAGACTCATTTGTATTAATGCTAGAATAATACCTAAAATCTATTTAAAACAACCACATCATATTTAACATTGATCTGAGGCATAATGGTTCATTAATAAAACATTTGTAATAAACCCTATAGTTTGTAATACACCTGGAGAATTAAAGTTACAAGTCAGAAATATGCACACATTACTAAGAAATGTCTGTGGCTCTACATAATTTCTTAGAACTTACAGAATAATATACCTTATTGAGATTAACATCTGAGAGTGCCTATTAAGCATCTTGGAATAGGGAAATTTTACTCTTTGGTATTCTTCTTATATTATGAAATTATAACCCCCATCTTAGGATAATGGCTTCTTTATATAGTCTCTCTGAGATATAGTTGTGAAATTACAGGGCTAAATTGAGAACCTAAATTGATTAAATGACAGCAACATCATTGCATACATGTTAAATGTTCCGTATCAGTTTCTTCTTCGGATTTTAAAGGGAAATTTTTTTTTTTTTTTTAGCTTTCTTTAGAATATTTTCATTAGTGTAAACTATTTTTTATTCTCAAAATGGGTAAATATTTTGAGAGAGAAATTACAATTATATGAATATTTAAAATATGAGTTGAATATATATAATTATCATTCTGTATGTGAGTATATACTGTATCCACGGATGAGCAAAACTAGGTTTACATTTGTAATACAAAGATAATACAATAAATAATAAATAGTAATATAAGAATAAACTTTCTCATATTGACAACTATAAACCTACTTTTCCCTGCCCCTGTGTACATAAGAAAGGGGCACATTTCTAATGATATTGTGTAAACTTTCTTTTTTTCTTTTTTACTCTCTGTAAATAGCCTGAAGACATGTTTGTTTGTGACATCAATGAACATGACATATGCGGACCTCCGTCCTATAAGAATCTAAGAAAAAGCCAGTGTACTCCTCTTTTTATGAACGCTTACACTATGAGAGGTAGGCAGAAATGTATTTGATATAAAGAATATTTGCAGAGTAGGCTCCCCTAAATAATGCCAATGATTGCTGCAGTTAACATTTCTTGGATACCTACCCTGTTTCCCCAAAAATAAGACAGTGTCTTATATTAATTTTTTCTCCCAAAGTTGCGCTAGGTCTTATTTTCAGGGGATGTCTTATCTTCCCATGCACTAGGTCTTATTTTTGGAGAATGTCTTATTTTCAGGGAAACACGGTACTACACACCCAAGCTTTCAATGTGTTAACCCCTTCAGTCCTCACATCAGCCTATGTGCAAGGTCTTTTAGTCCAATTTACTGGTGAGAGGACAGAGGCTCTGGGAAGATATTTTCCAAAACAAACAGCTAGTGAGCATTTTGGGTCCAGAATTCCAACCGAGATTCGTGGGACTCTAGTAGATTGTCAAGTAGACCAAAGATTGTGTTTGCAATCAGGTTCCCACTCCCAGTTTAGAGTTATACCTCTGGGAACTTGTAGTGGAAGTAAATCTCCTTTTGAAAAAATGTACTGTGTGATAAAAATAGGAGTCTTATTTTAAATCCCCCAAAATTGTGGTAGAAGTCAGCCTGTAAAGGTTGAACCTGGAGGACACTGTGAAAATGGGAAATTGTAACCGAAGTCCTGGCTCAGCCACAGCAGTGAAGTCATAGAACATAGTCGCTTTCATGAAATCCGTAGTGAGCAAGTCACTGTGCTCTTCTGTTCCTGAACATTGTCAGCTCCGACTGAGGATAAAACTGAGGGAAGCAGGTTTTCCCAACATGAAGCTTTCCCAGCATGAAGCTCAACAAGCTTACCGACTTGTATAGTATACAAGTCTTTTGTACGTAAATTCATTACATCTACACCTCGAAGTCCTCCCTTATGCTACCAAGATACGTCCTGTGCTATGAAGCCTAACTTGGTGATCAGGGGTCAGGTGGACCTGGGTTCAAATTCAAGTGCTGTCACTACTGTCCGTGAACCATGCACACGTTTTTTTAAACTTCTCCGAGCTTCCACTGACCATGAACTGGTGACCTCTTTGGTGATTGTGATGATGCGAAGAGATAACGTAAAAAGGGGATCCCTAAGTAGGTGCCTGGCACATAGGAAGCCCTAAGTAGCTGATAGTAGTATTGTGATTGTGATCTCCATAATCGTTATAGCTGCACTTCAGACCATCTAAGAGCTAGTTCATGGGCACATGTAAAGTATAAGGAATGGTTCTGATGCTGGATAAAGTGTAATTTTTAATTTTTATTTTTTTATTTTTTGCTTTCTGGCTCCTCTATTAGTATTTCTATTTTCCTCCCTCCCTCCTACCTTACTTCCTACTGCCAACTTATTCCATACCTAGAACAACAAGTGCATATATAAATGTGCGTTCCAATGCATACGTGTGTGTGTGTGTGTGTGTGTGTGTGTGTGTGTGCGCTCGCATGTGTGTATTTTTTCTTAATTTTAAGGTATAATTTAGCTTTCACCTCACGTGTGACTTTTCTTTCCTCCCCAGGAGCAGGCGCAGTGATTCACACCCACTCTAAAGCCGCGGTCATGGCCACCCTTCTCTTTCCAGGACCGGAGTTTAAAATTACACATCAAGAGATGATAAAAGGAATAAGGAAGTGTACCTCGGGAGGGTATTACAGGTATTTTCTTTTCTACTTTTGCTTAAAGAATTTGAAAAACATTTTTCCTCTTTTTTTATAAACAGGCTACTGATTTTTTAATGCACGTAATGAGATGTTGTGGAATCTGTGTTCAGTAATACCCCACTTGATGTTATACTTCCAGATCTCTTCTTAGTGACACAGATCAGATGCCTCCCCCGACCCTTTTCACTGCAGCCTTGGTAAATGATTAGCAACATGAGTAATGAAATGATTGTCAGAGCAAAATGACAAGACCTTGGCTGAAACTTCTGTAGAGATGGAAAGATTATGTCCCTACCCTGAAGCACCCACAGAGCAAGGTATCCCCATCTTCACTTGGTCTGCAGGGAGTTTCAGTCCCCGCTAAAGTTTTCACTTAGTTTTTATTTGATTTCGTATTTCTAGAATCCTATAGATTGAAAGCCTAATATGCTAAGTGTTCCGTCGTCCAGTTGGCCGTTCAACCAATTAAAGTGTAATATGCTAATAATATGCTAAGACTGATCAACTGCTTGCTATGACATGCACTGATCACAAGGGGACAGATGCTCCGACTGGTAGGTTAGCTTGCTGCTAGGGTCCAGCTGATCGAGACTGAGTGAGACAGGCTGGACACACCCTGGAGCCTTCCCGCAGTCCCTCCCTAACTGGCCAACCCCCACGTCCCTCCCCGGCCCCAATCATGCACTGTTGGAGTCACTTGGCCTGGCCTGTGTCCTCTCACAATCTGGGACCCCTAAGGGGATGTCAGAGAGCCAGTTTCAGCCTGATGGCAGGATGACTGGTTGCTATGACACTCCTCAATGCAGGAGCTGCCTCTTGGTGGTCAGTACGCTCCCACAGGGGGAGCACTGGTCAGCCAGAAGCTGGGATCACAGCTGACAAGCGCAGCAGTGGTGGCAGGACCTCTCCTGCCTCTGCTGCAGTGTTAAGGATGTCCGACTGATGGCTTCCAGACTGCGAGAGGGTGTAGGCCGGGCTGCGGGACCCTCCCCACCCCCTCCCGAGTGCAGGAATTTTGTCCACCAGGCCTCCAGTATGTTCCTATTTATAAAAGTTTTATAATTATTTCCATTAAGTAGATCTCCATATTTTTATAAATTTTCAGTCTGGAAAGTAGCATAGATAGTATAGAACAAAGGCCTAGATAAAAATCATATAATTTCACCAGCCCACAAAAATGTAGTTAATATTCATCCATCTAGACTATAGTGACATGAGGAAACATGTTTTGGGCTTGGGTACAAGCTCAGCATTTTATTTGAATGTATCGACATCCTTACTCCTGAGTCTTCATTTCCTAAAGGGCCTTGTTTGGGGGAAAGGGGTGCCAGTTTTATAAAGTGTCCTGACAGCAATATCTTATTGTTGCTGCATGTAATAGAAAGTACATGTTTAAAACTAGTGTGCTGAGAAATTAATTTGATTTGTTTGTAGTTAATATTTATTGTGTGCCTAAGGCATTCCTCAGCACCATGAAATACCTATTCACAAAAGTTAAATATTTATATTATGAAAGTATACGTACTAAAGAAAGTATAGTGCCTTTTCCTTGGGGGATGTTGGAGAGCCATTTCCGGCCTGATCCCACTCAACACAGGAGCTGCCCCCTGGCGGTCAGTGCGTTCCCACAAGGGGGAGCGCCGCTCAGCCAGAAGCTGGGCTCACAGCTGGAGAGCGCAACAGCAGTGGTGGGAACCTCTCCCGTCTCCATGGCAGCACTAAGGATGTCCAACTGGGCCTAAACTGTCAGTCAGACATCCCCTGAGGGCTTCTGGACTGCGAGAGGGCACAGGCTGTGCCGAGCCGCACTCCTTCTCTGAGTGCATGAATTTTCTGCACTGGGCCTCTAGATTAAATTAATTGTCCTCCCTTTTGGAAGCAAATGCATGTACATAGTATAGTGGAAAGAACACAGTTGGTGATCATGGACTATCCTTGCTCTGTCCCTCATTTAACTGGTAAGGATTTGTGTTCCAGCTTTAAAGTGGGTGGCCTGGATTGAGATAGCTTTCAGGTCTTCTTTTGCTGTGAAATAATTTTGCCCCTGGAAATATGTCTGACTGTTCAGTAGATGCTAGAGCAGTGGTCAGCAAACCACGGCTCACGAGCCACATGTGGTTCTTTGGCCCCTTACGTGGGCTCTTCCACAAAATACCACATGCAGGCGCGCACGCACAGTGCCATTGAAACTTTGTGGCCCATGCGCAGAAGTCGCTTTTCAGCCTGGGTAAGTCTATTTTGAAGAAGTGGCGTTAGAAGAAGTTTAAGTTTAAAAAAATTTGGCCCCCAAAAGAAAGCTCGGTCGTGGTACTGTTGATATTTGGTTCTGCTGACTAATGAGTTTGCCAACCACCGTGCTAGAGGAAAATGTAAGCTTATAGTTTTCCTGACTAATATTAGGAAAGATTTGTGACTAGCAATTCATTCTTTCCATATGGAAGGATATTTTATAATTACATCTACTTTACTTAAATGAAGTAATGAGCAACTCCCTACTGTTAATAATAATGATTGGCCACGTTACATATGACAGCTACTTAGCCTGTACCTGCCCTAACATAGCAATTTCTGATAATGCTTCAGCAGAGCTTTTTGATTAAGTTTAGCCATTATGGAAGGAGTGAAAAAGCAAGTGTTATATTACCAAGGCAAGAGAAATTCATGTAAAAAGGAAACTTGTCTGAGTTTTGACTGGTTATAAATGACCTCATAGATAGACTTAAACTTTATAATAATTAAGTTATTTGCTTTAAATGTTATTACATGAACAAAAAGGAACACTCGTTCTGATTTCATTATATGTATTAAACAAGGTGAACTGAGTGAAGTTCTTGACTTAATGATGTTCTGAAATGATATCATACCTTTAATAGTGATCTCCAGAAGTTTCTTGCTAGCCCAGTGCCACAGTCCACACCTGTATTTACTTGTCTGAGACGCTCAGGTCCTGCAGGGTTAAGTAAAAGGTTTTGTATCATTGAAAAATTCCTATTCAATAAGTAGTTCAATTGTTAATCCCTCCTTCAGTTCTGATGCTGAACTCTATCATTTCCCATCTCCTGTTGAATATATTTTGATTGCCTCTGCTACAAGGAAATACTTGTATGATCTTGATAATTTTTTTTGGTTAGGTTTTGGTATCCTATACAAATTTCTGCCACTTAGTCTTGGGATTGGAATGATGCCTGCTAAATTTCCAAGGCATCTTTTGATACAGATGTTTGTGCAAGATACAAAGAATTAACACGCAGCATCTTGTTCGTAACTTCAAGTGGCTTTCCAAATACAAAGAGGATGTCTAACTGGTTGCTTGAAAAAAACTGTAAATGTTACATATGAATACTTTTGTTTTAATGGGGGGGAAAATGGCTTGTTTCATCCTGTAGATACGATGACATATTGGTGGTACCCATTATTGAGAATACGCCTGAGGAGAAAGACCTCAAAGAACGAATGGCTCGTGCGATGAATGAATACCCAGACTCCTCTGCGGTGCTAGTCAGACGTCATGGCGTCTATGTCTGGGGAGAAACGTGGGAGAAGGCTAAAACCATGTAAGCATAAATCAAAGAGCATTTGGGACAGGTCGCTACACTCTCAATGTGAAAGAGAACAAACTATATCTTAGGATTTATGTGTTATTGATCAAGTTGATTTAAATATTTTTTTATTATTTAAATCTAGATATTTGATTTGTATCGTGTATTCATTTAATAAGAAATACATTTTTATTTGACTGGATGAGCTACTATTTGGAAAGGCACCATGCACTTTAATACAAGGAAGCAGTCAGACCTTGTTTGAGGAGTTTAAAGCAGAAGGGAGAATAAAGCAAATCCAAGTTATATAACGGCCTGCTACATTTATTTCAAAAAGTGGCACATAGTAACAAATTTAAATTTATATTGCATTTAGAATTCCCTTTTATATCCTGAGAATTATATAATACGGTTGCATGGTCCAATATTGACCCTTTCCATGTTTTAACAATGGTGGAGGCAAAAGAAGAAAAACGTAGCTTGAAACTGAGAAAAATTCCTAACCAGCTAGGAACAGGGTTAACTTATGGAGAGGAGAAGTGTGATGATTAGGTTTGGATGACTGTTTCTCTGAGGACCGTCAGCCCTTTTTGCTCTTTCTTTCATAGGTGTGAGTGTTACGACTATTTGTTTGATATCGCCGTATCAATGAAGAAAGTAGGACTGGATCCTACAAGGTTTCCAGTTGGAGAAAATGGGATTGTATAAGCCAAATGGACGTTTATGTACAGAGACAAAGCTTATCTTAACTGTCACTGAAATGAAACCTGACTTTTTAAAAATCGAACCTCCTGCCATTAATTTGCCACTATACACTGCAGAGGACCACCCTGAATGTCTTCTGACTTTGGATGGTATTTGCTTAAATTCTTGTCATTTTGAATGACAATGCAGTAGAATAAAAATTTTTAATAATGAATGTTTCTGTTTATTTTTAAATCCTTAACAGCAAAAATACTTCCCTTTAAATTAATTCCCTTTTTTATATATACACTCCCAAAGAATTCCTCTTATGCTTCAAAGTTGCTGGTAATAATAGAATTCATTGGGAAATTTCCACTTAATTTATGGGATGAGCGCTTTCTTGTTTTTGCCAAAACTAGTGGTTAGTACTCTGTATTTTATTTGACTTTGCAGTAGCATGACTGGTGGCCACTCCCTCCCTGAAACATTGTTCTCAGGCTTCCATGACACTAGATGGATGTGATTTTCTACTTACCTCACCTGTTGCTTTTGTGGTTCTTGAATTTCTCTCCTTTATCAGATTTCAAAATGTTAAGGGGCCTCAGCGCTCTCTGCCCTTAGCCATGTCATCTACACTCCCCCCGCCCCTTCAGGACAGTGGTTGGCAAACTCATTATTTGAGTGATGTGTTATAAAATCACTCACAATTTTTCTATTGGTTTCAGATTTAATTGCATCCATCACATTTAATATAATGAAGGGAAAGGGGAT